GTACGTCCTTGTCTTTCATGACTTTGAATACTTCTTTCCAGCCCCTTAGTGCCTAAAAGGTTTCTTTTGAGAAATCAGCTGGTAGTCTCATGGGAACTCCTTTGTAGGTAACTGTCTCCTTTTCTCTTGCTGCTTTAAGATTCTCTCCTTAAGATAAGTCTTTAATCTTGGGTAATGTAATTATGATGTGCCTTGGTGTGTGCGTCCTTGGGTTCAACTTCTTTGGGACTCTCTGAGCTTCCTGGATCTCCTGGGAGCCTATTTCCTTCTCCAGATTGGGGAAGCTCTCCTTCATTATTTTTTTCAAATAAGCTTTCAATTTCTTGCTCTTCCTCTTCTCCTTCTGCACCCCCATGATTCGGATGTTGTGATGTTTAAAGTTGCCCTGGAGGTTCCTAAGCCCCTCCTCATTTTTTTGAATTCTTGTTTCTTCATTCTGTGGTGGCTGAATGTTTATCTCTTCCTTCTGCTCCCCATTGTTGATTTGAGACCCAGTTTCCTTCCCTTTACTGTTGGTTCCCTATATATTTTTCTTTATTTCACTTTGCATAGCCTTCACGTTTTCCTCTATTTTGCGGCCATACTCAATCATTTCTGTGAGAATCCTGATTACCAGTTTTGAACTGTGCATCTGATAGGTTGGCTATCTGTTCATCGCTTAGTTCTATTTTTGGAGCTTTGATTTGTTCTTTCATTTGTGCCACATTTCTTTGTCTCAGTGCACCTGCTACATTGGAAGGGGCAGAGCCTTAGGTATTCACTAGAGTGGGGCCACCCGAGTCGCTGAGTTGTGATGATGTATGTGGGGAAGGAGTCCAAGAAGAAACAATGATGCTTGCTCAGCTCTCGGCAGGCTTTCAGTCACTTCCCTCGCTACCCACAGGCAAACTGGGCCCTTCTGGTGCTGATTCCTGGGTGGATGGGTTTGTGTACATTCTGGGACCCTATGGGTCTCTCCAATGGACTCTCCTGCGAGCCTGGGAGTTTCTCCCCACTGCCACGTTCCTTGCAGGTTTTTTACAGCCAGAGAGAGGTTTTGAAGCTTTCTTTTCCCCTGCTGGATCCCTGGGTTGTGTGGTCTGTCTTGCTCCCCAGCTGTTCCTCCTGGTTTATCCGCACACAAATGTGGGACTGCCTGGTCCACCAGCCACCGCCTCGCCTGTCCAGTCCTCCAGCCATAGCCTTGCCACGTGTCCTTTCTACCCCGGATACCCATCTCCCCTCTCCTACTGGTCTTGGTGAATGTTTCTTTAGCTCCTTGGTTGTTGGACTTCCATACAGTTCAATTTTCTGGCAGTTCTGGTTAATTTTTGTTTTTAAATTTGCTGTCCTTCTTTTGGTTGTGTGAGGAGGCAACATTTATCTCTACCTATGCCTCCCTCTTGGCCAGAAGTAATGTGCATCACATTTTTAGTTAAGCTTGAACAATCCTCTGTGGGAACTATCGGGATGATTCAGAAGACTGCAGCTATGGGCAACTAGTGATTGGCAGCTTCATCGTGACAACACGCCTGCTCACGTATCACATCTCGTGCAGAGTTTCTTTTTAGCAAAACTAAAAACTAAATCATTCAGGTGACTCAGCCCCTCTCTAGCCAGATTTGGTGCCCTGTGACTTCTGGCTTTTCCAAAAACTAAAATCATCTTTGAAAGGGAAGACATTTCAGAGGGGCAATGAGATTCAGAAAAATGTGATGGGGTGGCTGATGGCAACTGGGAGCACTGCGTGAGGTCCCAAGGTGTCTACTTTAAAGGAGACTGAGGCATCAGTGTCCCATGTACAATGTTTCTTGTATCATGTTTCTTCTTCAATAAATGTCTCTATTTTTCATAATATGTGGCTGGGTTACTTCTGGACAGACCTCATATGTCACAGCCATCTGTTTAACAAGTGTATGACATTTTTGTGCTTATTATTAACTTCTCACAACACTTCTTCGTGCTTTTGGCACTCACTAGGAAGAATTTCTTGTGTCTCCATCTGCTCTCTCCTCCTAACTTGTGTAGAAAAAGAAAGGGTTTCCAAAAGCATTATTCTTGAAAACACATGCCAGAATCTATTTATCACACATAAGGACGGCTTTCTATTCAAATATGCTTTTTGGAACCACCACCAAAAACTCTTTAAGGGACTAAGCCCTGAAGCCAAAGGTTAGTCAGTCGAGAACTGAAACCCCCGGGGCTGGCACGGCTACTCTACAGTGTTAGGCGTCAGAAGAGCGGGTGCCTTGGGCAGGAGTATGGGCTGGGAGGTGGCACCAGGGAATCTGCTGAGCTGCTGGAAATGTTCTACATCTTGATCTGGACAATGAGGTGGGTGTACACACATATAAATTCATCAAGTTGTATACTTGAGGTTAGTAGACTCTATGTAAATTATACTTCAATTAAAATGTGAAAAAACACATGAGGTAAAATACAGGTGCCTGGAAAGCCTGCTGTAACTTAAATTTGTTGAGGTGTGATTTACGACCCAGAATCTGGTTGGTCTTAGTGAATGTCCCATGTCCACCTGTGAAGAATGTATACTCAGCTGTCATCATTGGGTGGAGTGTTCTGAAAACATCAGTTAGATCATGGTGGTTGATTGTGTTACTCAGTTCTACATTCTTGTTCATTTTCTGTCCACTACTTCTATTCCTGAGAGATGGGTGTTAAGTCTCCAAATATAATTATGGGTTTCTCTATTTTTTCTTTCAGTTCTGTCAGTTTTTGATTCATGTACAAAGGAGCTCTGGTGTTAAGGACATAAACATTTGGGACTACTGTGTCTTTTTGGCTAACTGACCCTTTACCCTATGTCGTGTCTCTCTTTATTCCTGGTTATTTCCTTGCTTAGACTACTTTGATATTAATATAGCCATTCCAAATTTCTTCTGACTAGTGTTTACATGGTATATCTTTTTCCATCTTCTTACTTTTTACCTTCCTATACTGTTAACTTTAAACTGAATTTCGAGACAACATATAGTTGGTTCATGATTTTTTTCCATTCCAAAAATTCTGTCTTTTAGTTGATATGTGAGATAATTTCCATTTAATATAATTTTTGGTACATTTCAATTTAGACCTATCATTGCATTTGTTTTCTGTTTGTTCCTTCTGTTTTTCCTTCTTCTGTTTCCACTTTCTTGCTTTCCTGAGTTATGTTAACATTTTTTAAAATTCCGTTTTGATATATCTAGAATCATTTTTACTGTACCATGCTGTCAGGCTGTCTTAGTGGTTGCTCTAGGGACTACAGCGTCACCTTTGCAAGTAGGATGTAGAGACCTTATTACCATGTAGGTCCCTGACTCTTCTCTATTTTGTTAAAGTTGTCTCATACATTACTACATCTATAACACATTAAAAACCTGACCAGACAACATATTTTTAAATTTTTTCTAGCTGTCAAATATATTTGAAAGAACTCAAGAGGAGAGAACTAGCCTACTATATTTATCCAGATTACTCTTCTTCCTTCATTACTGATGCTCCAGTGACTTTAGAGGAGGCCTGCTGGCACCAAATCCGTTAGTCTTCCTCCACCTGAAAGTATTTGTATTTTGCCTTCTTTCCTGACAGATGTTTTCACTGGGTAAAGAATTCCTCGTTGACAGTTTTCTTTCAGTAATTTAGAATGCTGTGCCACTGTCTTCTTGCCCCCATGGTTTCTGATGAGAAATCTGCAGTCATTCCAATCACCTTCCCCAGAGGTAACGTGTCATTTTTCTCTGGCTACTTTTAAGACTTTTCTTTGTTTTTACTCTTTAGCGGTTTAATCATGATGTGTCCAAGCACAGATTTCTTTGGTTTATCCTGTTAGGGGTTTGCTGTTAGGTTCGCAAGTCTTTCTGGTTAAGTGTTTGAAATATTTGAGAGATTTCAGATGAATTAACTAAATTCATAACTAGAGTTATAAAGATGAACTATGTAATGGTCTTAAATGTTTGGGAAATTTGATCAGTCAAATCCATACGCTATTAATCAAAGAAAAGAAATAGCATAGTTTTAATTTTTATATAAAAATATTAATATAAACTCTAGAGCCAATCTGCCCAAGTTCAGACAATAGTGCCACCATTCACTAACTCCTGACCTTGGGCACGTCCCTTAACCATCCTATGCCTCAACTATCTCCTGGTAAAATGGGGATAAAAACAACACCCACCTGAGAGAGTTTTTGTGAGCGTGAGATGAGCTCATACATGTATGTAAAGGTTAAATAATGCCTGGCATATAGTAAGTGCTACTGCATGCAAACCAGTTTTCTTATTTTAAATTGAGTATAGAGGCTTAAGAAAAACTAACTTTTAAATTAAGACTTTAAAAAGCTGAATATTGATTCAAATACAGATATTTGGAAACATTTCTCTTAAACACAACAGCTTTGCCCTAGTCTGTAAAAGCCCACTAAGGCCATGCGGCAGGAGCTGCAACTCCGTCACCTTTGAGTCTCTCTCAATAAACAGCCAGAGATATCACCTAAATGGGTGTATCCAATGATGGCCATGGATACTCGTGCCTCCCACACCTATAATACAGAGACATGCCCAAGTGAGGCAAGGCCGAACACAGGTTGGTCAGGACCCCAGAGCGGGAGTGATCTTGTTTACGATGCACAGGTTCTGGCAGCTAGCCAATATTGATACGAGTCCTTTTTTCATAACAAGTTCAACAGAATAATTAGGGATTATTCAAGTAAATCTATCAAGGTATTTTAAGAAACAAAACACTTGGAAAAAATACCTACTTCCAAAGTTTCCTACTAGGTACTAAACACCAAATGTTCACATTTAAAGTGATGCTAGATTTTTGGAGGCAGGAAAAAAAGTTAAAATCACCAATGTTTTTAGCTATATTCCACCTCAATTAAAGATGGTTTTAAAGTATTATTTGGGTGAGACTCTACAGCCATATTCTAGAAAATCTCTAGAAAATCGGCAGCCCACTGCCCCATGCCAGAACGCACGAGCACGTTAACTACCCGTCGGGGCGCAGAGGGTGGCGGGACTCACCTCGAAGTTGTACTTCCTCATCTGGCCCAGGCGCCGGCAGTACAGGTAGAGCATGCCGGTGCTGCTGCCCACAGCGATGTAGTCGCCGCTGCTGTCGAGGGCCGTCAGGTAGACCGCCACAGAGCGGAAACCCTTCTGGATCTTCGTGGGAATGGCGTTGAGGAGGTAGTACAAAGGGCAGAACTCCCTGAACATAACAGGCTCTGCTGTGGACTCCATGGCCAGGGTGCCCACCGACGGTCTTTTGGAAGGAAAAGAAGCGGTGACTTGGCATCTGGGGAAACCTGGGGGCTGGAGAGGGAGGCGTGGTCATTCTCACTGTCTAGTCATGCCAAAGGGAAGTTATCTTTAACAGTGGGGCCCTGGCTGGCGTGGCTCAGTGGACTGAGCACAAGCCTGTGAACCAAAGGGTGGCCAGTTCGATTGCCAGTGCAGGGCACAGGCCTGGGTTGCAGGCCAGGTCCCCAGCAGGGGGTGCACAAGATGCAACCACTCATTGATGTTTCTCTCCCTTTCTTCCTCCCTCCCTTCCCCTCTCTAAAAATAAATAAATAAAATCTTAATAGTGGGAACAAGGAACTTTGGGTGGGTAAAAATTACAGCTGGAGCTTAAACATGAAGTAAACCAGCTGTCATTCGAACCACCTTTTTTTTTTTTAGCATTTTAATTCAAAATGCCCTTAACTATGTATTGGCCCCTGTAATTTATATTGTGATAAATACTGTGGAGGGGTGGAAAGAATAGTAAAAACAGATCTTATTCTCAAGTAGCTTATGATGTAGCCAGGGAGGCAAAGAAACTGAAAATTTTCAACCCACATGGGACTAGGTGTGAACCTGTGGGTCTCGGTGAAAGGGAAGAGTGGTGTGGGTCTGAGAGTGGGAAGGCTTCGCTGGGGACAACCTCAACTGTGAAGCCACCAGGAAGGACACTGCCCTAGGAGGACAGGGAACCAGTCCCATGGCAGAAGCACACTAGGTTGAGAGGGTGCCCGGCAGGAGGCCCGCAGCCTCCTCGGCACTCACAGCCTCGGCCAGAGCATCTCCCCTCTGCTCCTCCCTGAGACCCACAGTTCTGAGCTCTTTGGTTTCAACGCTTCCCTCAACAGATACTGTGTGCCCACACAGCACACTGTAACATATGGATGCTCCATCACTCATTCAACCCTCACCCTGCCCTACAGGATAGGCGGCGGCCCCCCTATACTGTTAGATGAAGGTGCTGAAGGCCAGAGGCTCACAAGACTTGCCCAAGACCATGAGGCTGAGGTGTGAGTCTAGGTCTGCCCCCTCCAAGTCCTGGGCCCTTTCCAAGGTCACTGGCGCAGCTCTGACAGAAAAGCAACAGCTACAGGTGGATGCTCTGTGCCTGCACAGATCTGGAGGGCATTCTAGCCCGTTAGGTCCATGGAGGTTTTCAAGTCCCTCTAGCAGAAACTTCTGGGGATACCGGGTTTACGGTCTGTTTGGACTGTGGGTTTTCTATTTCCGGAGCTGACCAACTGACATCCCTGCCCCCTCTTAGTGAAACTCACCCAGAGACCCTTGCACTGGCTGCTCCTTCTACCTGGAAGGCTCTTTCTCCCAGCGCCACTCCGCTTTTACTTCTCAACATGTGGTCTTTGCTAGAACGTCCCCTCCTCCATGAGGCCTTACCTGACCATCCTCTAAGGTGGCTCCCACTGAGCACCCTCTGTCACATCCCCCCCGCAACTCTCTCCACACACCCTCTTTGCCACTCTGCCCAGCCCCCGCCAGCACCCCTGGTCTGCAGGCCCCGCAGGAGCAGAGCCCGCCTGCCTCACTCACCTCCTAGCCCCCAGCACCTGCAGGAGGGTCAGGCACATCAGAGGTGCTCAGGAGGTATTTACTGACTGAATGAATGAGTTATAAAGAAAGGAAAGTTTCCAAGGAAGACATGGGTGGCAAGAAGGGAACAGCAGCCAAATACCATCTTTTCTCCAGTTTGGTCCCAATATTCAATGCTGAAAATAATCATCCCCCAGATGTAATAACAAGCCCCGCCCTCTGTGATGGTTAAGAACAGGGGCCACCCTCTTTTAGCAGAAGTTGAAGCTCTGGGAGTATCCAAAATTTGCCCAAGATAACAGTTTTAGGTGCCTGGTGTGACAGAAATCAGGATGGTGAACACTGGTCCTGTCCACACAGCAGCAGAGCATAAATTTGTAACTTTTTAAAAGCAAGACCAAGCCACCCTCCCTGGTGTGGCTCAATGGGTTGAGTGCCAGCCTGCTAACCGAGGGGTCACCGATTCGATTCCCAGTTGGGGCATCTGCCTGGGTTGCGGGTCAGGTCCCCAGTAGGGGGTGGGAGAGACAACCACACATGGATGTTTCTCTCCATCTCTTTCTCCCTCCCTTCCCCTCTCTCTCTAAAATAAATAGATAAATAAATAAATAAATAAAGTCTTTTAACAGTAAGACCAAGCCTTGGTTCATGCACATACTCCAGAAAGGCAAGCAAGACCCATGTGACCCAGAAATCAAATGAGAGCAAACTCCAGTGAGAAGGGCCCTGGCAAAGCATGTGGCTCATTTAAGGGCATGGGACGCTGGGACCAAGATAACAGCAATAACAGTAATAGCAACAGCCGTGACAGCTCCCACTCTTCTTAACAGCAGCTGTCCTTAGCGGACTGACGTGAAACCCTCACAGAACACCTGCGAGGCAGGCACCACCGTCACCTCCCTTTTACAGATGAGGAAACTTCCCATTTCCACAATCAACCCAGCCTTTCCAGTCAACAATGCGTCCCTCATCACAAACATTTCCTCCATTAAGAATACAAAGCCCCACGCAGAGCAGTCCTCCTCTGGTTGGGCCGCCCCCCGCCCTCATTGTACCATCAACCCCATACACTGGAAGGTGGCGGCTGACCTCCGTGCTGACTGACGGCACCCGAATGCCGCCGTGGTGGGCAGTTTTTCAGAAGTGGAGCTAAGACGAGTAATCTTTAGCCTAAATCATTCCCTTAGCTGAACAGTGACCTAAGTTGCCAGGGCGCTCTGACAACACTAATGGTTTAAGGAGTCCTTCCAAAATCCCCAGGAAGCAACGATTTGTATTCAGTTGTGGAGTCTATTTTTAAAGTCTGGCTACAACATCTATGATATTTTTAAGTGTGAAGATTTTACAGCTTAAGACCCTAATGAGCTGATGCAGTCATGCATCTTCCAGACGAGGCCGCCACCTCCGGTCCGCGCCTGCTGGCCAGCCCGGGCTATGTATCTAGCTTCCTCCAGGCCGCTCTGCTTCCCCGTGCCGCACTCTGCAGCCGGTGAGCTTGCACCCCGGCCCCTGAGCAGCCTGGCCCTTCCCACCCCCACACGCGCCGTGAGGCCGCGCTGTCCGCGGGAGGCCTCCGCAGACCCCGCTGGCCTTAGCTTCCGCACAGGGCTCCGAGAAGGGTCGCATGCGGCTCGGTCGCTTGCTTCTGTCTCTCGCCTCGCAGACGCCTCTCTCGAGGCTTTGCCCACATCCTTCCAGTCTGCACACTCTGCAGGGCTTCAAAAAACCAACAGCGAAGTGCGGTACAATCAACACTCAGCACATTTTTCTTCAATTATTTTCTCTCTCAAAACACTGCCGGAATTCCCGCAGTAGGAGAGCCCACGAGAGAAGACGGCCCTGCCACAGACACAGCCACCATTCTGCAAAAATTCACCGGTCTCCTGTCCAGGCCCAAGGCGTCCACTGTTCACAAGCGAGAGGCAGTCTGCACAACACCTCACTTCCTCCGCGGCCAGTCAGTCTCCAGCCAGATCCTGATCCCTGGGCTCCTGGGCCCGGCTGGGCCCACCGACCACAACGCTGGACGCCGCCGCATCTGCTCCTCACTCTTCCACGTCAACCCACTGCGGCCTGGGGCGTCTCCTCCTTTTCCCCCACAAGGTCCCGGCCGCTGTCCCATCCAGCCACACGGGGGCTTCTGGGAAGTGGCACCTGCCTCAAACTCCGAGTGGAGCTTCTGGGAGAGACCACAAACCTGTGGGGCCACCTTTCTATTGAAAGACTCAGCTGTGAATAACTGAAACCTACCAGAAGCTACCTCTGTGTCACCTGTTCAGAAGAGGACGGTCCTTATCCAGTCTGCACGCCGCCCCCCCCCCCCCCCCCCCGCTTTCTCCAAGCCGGAGGACCCCGGGGGAGTGTCCCCTCCGCCTGTCCCTGCTGGCTCTCCGGGTGGGAAGCTCCTGGGGCAGGGTCTGGGTCTGCCTGGTCCGCCCAGCACCCCAGGGCCTGGGCCGCTGGCTGGCATACAGTGGACCCCCAACTACTACCTGCGGGATGCACGTCGGGTTGCAAGACCCAGCAAGGTCGGGGCTTTTCAAGGAGCGCGGTCGCTGGGTGTGTGCAAGCAGAGAAGGCTTGCAGCTCAGGGGACCAGGAGCCTCTGGGGACAAGGGCCGTGCTGGGGTCTGGGTGTGGGATTTCCCAGGGATCCTTTCCTTAAAGTTCCCAGGGCCTTGGCTACGAAGGAGAAGTTCGCCCCCAGGGCAGCCGGTCACTCCAGCGGGTCGCGCCAGTGTGCAACCAGGCTGGCGCCCACACGCCGCCCTCAGATGGGACCTGAGCCACGACACAGAGGGAACGGCGGCGCCTCCGCGAGCCAGTGAGGACGCCCAGGGCCGGGAAGAGCGACGGCAGCGGAGCTGTCCTTCGCGGGAAGCCAGAGCCTGCCGGCCGGGCTAGATCCTCCACACGCGCCGCCCGCCTGAGCCCTCCCCCGGGCACGAAGGCAGAAACCGGCGTCGCCTCCAGTTCGCCGACTGCAGGAGGGACGCCCCGCGCGGTGGCGGTGCCTGCCCGGGGCGCAGACCTGACCTGCTCTTTAGCCCGCGCAACCTGTGCTGCTTCCCGGGCCTTGGAGCAGGACCCAGAGGGCGACTACTTCCTGAGCACCCCGGGGTACGTGCCAAGGCCCGGGGGGCGCACGAAGGCCGGGGGCGGGGAGGGCCGGCTCGGCGCGCGGGCTCAGGCCGGAGACCAGGGCGCTCGGAGGCCGGGCGGCGGGCGGGGGGCGCGGCGTGGGAGGAGCCGGGGAGCGGGGGCGCGCCCGGCGCGGCGAAGAGGGACGGCGGCAGCTGCTGCGCTCGGCGGGCCGCCGGCGTCTGCCGGGCGGGCGCTCCGTGGTTGGACATTCGGCCTCGGCCACCCGCACAGCCGAGACGGAAGAGGGAAAGGGGGCGAGCGGGGCAGGGCGACCCTGAGGCGCTGAGGCGCTGAGGCCAGAGGCGGCGGCGGGGAGGCCGACGCCAGCCGCGTCGCCGGACTCACCTCCCGCGACAGCCCCTCGGGACTTGTCGGGCCCGCCGGGCCGGAGGAGGCGGGCTGGACTCCGGGCTGCGGGGGCTGCCGGGAGTCCGTCCCCTGGGCCACCGGGCGCACCCCGCCGAGCGACCGCCGGTTCCTCTGGGGCCAGAGCGGCAGAGCCACAAGTGGTGGCAGAGGGGGGGCGGGCCGGAAGTGACGCGTTCCGCGCGCCGTGGGCGGGGCCTCGGGGTCTCTTTCCGGGGAGATCCGCGGCGCGCATGGAAGGTACGTGAGGAGGGACAGTTTCCCGGGATTGGGAGCGCGCGAATGTTGCAGGCTGGGCGGGAGGCCCGGACCTCCGGGTTGAACAGGGTCCTTGCGTTGCCCCAGCCCAGCCTGCTGGCCCCGCGCGGGCCCTGCCGTCAGCTCGGGAGCCGGTCGGTTTGGCCGAGCCTCAGTTTTTCCGTGCGTAGAACGAGATGTACGCAAAAAAGTGCCAGCGGATCCTGACGCTCAAGTCGTAATTGTCCTTATAAATTAGCATTAGCGAAGCACTTCCCCTGAGCGGCCCCCGGTCGGGATTCCCGGGCACAGTCCCTCCCACTTGTACTAAAAGCTGTCACTCGGCGAGTGCTGTGTGCCAGAAGTGTTCTGAGTGCTTGATGAGGTTCAAATCTTTTGAGTCTCATAGTGATCCCATGAGATGATGTCAACAGATGGGAAGCGAGGCTGCAGGGGTAGGTACCGGAGCCACCCACCGTCCTCTGCCTCACTCTGCTCTGCCCTCTGTCACTGGTCTGTCTTTCCTACTAGCCTGCGACTCTCCTGGAGTCAGAGCTGGTTTCCGTTCCTAAGGACGTGCTGGGGTGGGGCAGACAGTTCGAATCAGATGTGATCCCGGCCATTAAGGAGCCCTTCTTGGGGGAGAGAACCCCCCAGAAGATTATATAGCACAGCTGGTACAAGCTATTTCTCTAGTTAACATATTTTATTCAACACCTACTATGTGCTGAGATTATGAGACAGAACAAGACACATCATCCCCGCCCTGCTGGAGTTTATAGCCTAACAGGGAACATAGACATGAAACAACCAAACACACCACACTGCTGAGTGCTGTGATAGCTGAAGCACAGGGTGGCCTGTTTAGTGGGGTGAGGACGTCCTAACGCAGCCTGGGGACCCAGGAAATCTTTGTTGAAGTGACGTCCTAAAAACCTAAATCAGATCGTGTCACTTTCCCACCCAAAGCTTACTGTTCACTTCCATTGACTTGGAATAAATCCAGACTTCTTATCTTGGCCTATAAGGTTCTAGATGCCTGACTGGTCTCCCACCTTCTACTCCCTCTATTTCAGTCTAGTTTATTCTCACATTGAGGCCCATGCTGTTGACTTCTCATTCAGGACTGAGCCTAAATTGACGCCTTCTCAGGCGTTTTCAACACATGGGATTCCCTAAGTGATGAGCAAGGTCAAGGTGTCTTTTGTTGTGTTCATAAGGTGGATTTTGGAATGGCCCAAGAAAGGGAAGAACTTTCTAGCAGAAAGAACGGCACATGCTGAGGCCTGCAGGTGGCTCCACTTTTCAGGAGCTGCCAGCAGCTGGTTTTAGCTGCAGATGAAGGGGGTCCCGGGTCGGGGCTGGGATGAGTGCTGAGGTGGAGGGGAGGTCAGGCCCTGAAGGACCTCGGGCCTCTTCCTGCGTCCCGTGCAGCGGAGCTCCTCTGCCTCTCCGGCTGGCCTTGTCGGTGTGTCGAGCACCACAAAGCCTAGGGAACCACAAAGCTCTGAACAAATGTCAGGCGCCAGAGTGCTGAGACTAGGCGACAGGAGTACCCAGGCTCGGGGCTGGGAGGCTCTGAGAGGCACACCTTCACCTGAGTTCCAGCCTTGAAAGCAGTCAAGGTGCTTAAGGTAAAACTTTGTGGACCCATGAAATTGGAAAAGGATCTAGCCATCTCTGGTGACTCTTAAAATGTAGAAACCATTCTGTTTTCTCTTGTTCTGGGAACTTTTCTGGTCATCCAGATTCTTAGCGTCCACGTGACTTGACCAGTCGATACAGCGTTTCAGGTTGTTTTACTGTGGAGAGTTGTAAGACCCTTTGCCCTCCAACTATGGCCATGGATTTCATAACAGTTATGTTTCTTTTACTGCCTAGAAGCAAAGACTCTAGGAAGTGCAACGCCCAGAAAACCTGTCTTATCTGTCAGCGCAAGAAAAATCAAGGACAATGCAGCCGATTGGCATAATTTAATCCTGAAATGGGAAGCCCTCAATGATGCAGGCTTTGCTATTGCAAATAACATCGCCAACACGAAAATCAGTTTATTGTAAGTATGGCTACAGTTCCCTGAGCCCTTCATCATAGACGATTGGGCACGAGTTTTGTGGGAGTCTTTTGCGGGGGGGAAGGGTGGTCTCCATCGACATGGAGAAACTATATTAAGCAAAGAAGCGAGTGGTAAAATGATATATGCAAGAACAAACGTTTGTGTATGTTTAAATACAAAATTATACTATACAGGGTCCAGCACAAATAGCACCTCTTTTTTATTAAAAAATCTTTTATTATAAAATCATAAACATGTAATTCTATAACATAACAATATCACACTCAAGCACACCCTAGGACATTTTAGGTGAAATGTTCAAGTTAAAACTATAAATTATTACACCCATATCATTACTGTATCATTAGCACAGCTGGTACAAGCTATTTCTCTACTCAACCCCAAGCAACCCTACTCAAGCAGGCCTTCTGCCAGACCCTGTATACTGTTCATGGTGACGTCTAAATATACAAAATATATAGAATTATAAAAATAGATTGGAACCACACAGGCTCAGTTCATGACACTGGTCTCTTCTAGGAGGAATGATTGTTGGGGTGGTAGGTAAGTGGGACTTTATCTTCATAATGTTGCATTTTATTTCACGATACTGTGATTTATAATAAGAAATATCTCTTTGGCCTTCCTCCTTGTTCCTGTGACACAGCTCCCAGACCCCTTACCGTTTCCTAGTTGATAAGGGCAATGGGAGAATCTTTAGTTATAATGTCTGGCCTTTTGTCCTCAAATAGTCCCAGTTCCTGAAATAGCTCCAGAGTGGAAAAGGTGAAAGGAGTGTGTTCTATTCATAACAAGCCCCTTTCAACCATGCCTGAGTTTGTATTAATAAGGCGACTTGTGGAAAGCCCTGGAGGATGGGGGCTGGTTGCCAGGGGCACCAACCGAGCATTAGAGGGTTGGGACCTCCCGCGCCACCCCCAAGGGAGGCTAGAGGAGCCGGAGGCTGAATTAATCCCCAGCAGCCAGCGGCTCGATCCGTCCTGCCTCTGTAATGAGGCTTCCGTGCCACCCCAAAAGGGGGGTGGTTTGGAGAGCTTCCAGGTTGGTAAAGAAGAACAGTTGATGTTCTGGAAGGGTGTCCCCAAACTCCACAGGGACAGAAGCCCCGTCTGGACCTTGCCCCGTGTACCTCTTCATCTGGCTGTTGTTTCACATTCTTCAATATCTTCCGTCATACACCGGTCATCTAATAAGCGCGCTGTTCTGCTGAGGTCTGTGAATTGCTCGAGCAAATTAACCAAACTCGAGGACGGGGTCGCGGGGTCCTCTGATTTCCATACAGCCCATTAGTCAGAAGGACAGTAACAACCTGGGCCCCTGGGGGGGGTCACTGTTGGGGACTGAGCCCTTCACCTGTGGGGCCCAGTGCCGTCTCCAGGTCAGACCATACTTCTCAAAGTTATAATTCTATACATACATCCTCCAGCTTGTGCGTCTACAGGCCAGAGTCTGGAGACCTGAATTCCTGGCCTGCCCGCTGGCTGTCGCCATTGTCCTCGAGCACATGGTTACCTTCCGGCCCCAGCTGCCCTTTCCTGGTGGGACCTGCTCAGCCAGTCCCCTGAGATGCTCCGACATTTTCTATCCTATTTGAATGTGGAATTTTTTTCCTTCAGTGTTGATGTGACTCCCCTCGATAATTCTGTTGCCCTGTGGGTCGCAGCCCGCAGTTTATAAGATACATTCCTAGCTTGTCAGCTCCCTGCCCACCGCTACACCCGACACCAAGGATGCCCCAGGGTGGACGGAATGTAATTGACTTATCCTAGTTCAGAATTGAGTAACTGACACATGTATTCATTTTATAAGTAAATGAGTCAACACTGAATGAAGCAAAACACCTTTTACGAAACATCTGACATCCTCTCATGGATACTGAGTTTTCTCAGGTTTACCGGGATGGCCAAGGTGAGCTGACGGACGGATTTTGTCCCCACTCTTCCCTCTCATCCAGGAGCAAAGACAAGGTCGAGCTAGAGAGCGGCTGCCTGGCTCGCGATGAGGGTGCGGAGCAGAGGCCCCCAGAATACAGCGCGGAGCTCGAGGCGCTGTGCGAGGAGCTGCGGGCCGTCCTGGAGAGCTTGGTAAGACCTGGCCCCCCTCGGTCTGGGCGCCTGGCTCTGGGCCGCGTGAGGCTCCGAGGGCGGCCTTTCCTGCTCAGACATTGGCTTCTCCCTCCTCAGCCTCCTCTCCCTGGTCCGTAAGTCTTGATGTCCCCACGATGCCGTCCTAGACCTTCGTTCTTTTGGCCCCATGTGTGGTCCGGGGCAACGTCACCCCTTGCAGGCCCTGCAGTCACTGTTTGGAGGCCCCCAGCCTCTCGTCACCACACAGCTCTGTTGCGTCGCTGAGGCGGCCAGAGGCAGATGGAGGCGAGTGGCCATGGCTGCGTCCCAGTAAGACCTTCCTTACGGACCCTGAAGTTTGAATTGCACGTTCTCCTGTGTCACCAGACAGTCTTCTTTAGATTTCTTTCAACCACTGAAAAAGGTCGAACCCATTCTTAGCTTGTGGGTCGCACAGAAATAGGCTGTGGGCTGGCTGGCCTGGGCCCTGGTCTGGTACATGGTTGCTTAATGAGCTGGTGACTGAGTCTCAGTGCCTGCCATCCCGACCACAAATGTGGACAACGCGCGGCCCCTCTGCTGGGCTCAGGGATGAGGGTTTGCGCATGTTTGAGCTTGGATCGCCACAGCTCACCTGTGAACATGAAATCTTTACATTTCAACTGTTTCTGACGGAAATGTTCCCTATACTTCACGTGCTTCCTTGTCTTTTTAAACAGAGTATGTTGAAAATAATTACATTTCTTCAGGATACCGCTTATTCAGATTACGATTCAAAAGAGTTTTTCAAAAAACAGCATTAGCCCTTCTGACTATCGGAAACACTGAGATGGGAAAATAAATAGTGCCTTGAGGACTTCTGGGTAATTTAGCCTTTTCTTTTAGGTTGAAATACATCACTGACTTCAGGCTGTTTTGATTGTGTGGGGCTATTTGTCTCCCCTAAACAATGAGGTTTTTGTAACTGTCCTGTTTAGTGACTGCCTTCCCTCTCGCCCCCCAGCGGCAGTGCCTTCATTAAGGCCCTCTCGCAGGAAGGTGGGGACAAAGTGGGCGGGCTTTGTGACACCTGCTGTCTTTGCTTTATCTCGTGTCCACACTGTGTCTCTGGCAGGGGAGCTCTGGACTTGGGGCCAGCAGGGTTACAAGGCAGAGGGACCCCCTGAAGTAAGCTGTTGAAAACTGGACACTTATGTTGTTTTCTCCCATATTAACCCATTTGATTATAGCGAGCATATATTTTTTAATTTAATGTTTATTGATTTTAGAGAGAGAGGAAGGGAGAGACAGAGAAATATCTCTGTGAGAAACATCGATTGGTTGCCTCCTGTATGCGCCCTGACTGGGGATTGAACCTGCGACCCAGGCATGTGCCCTCACTGGAAATCAAATGCCCAGCCTTTTAGTGTACAAGACAATGCTCCAACCAACTGAGCCACACCAGCCAGGGTATGGGAAGTATTTTTGTTTGGATGAAAAGGCAGGTGCACATATCACTCCAGAGAGAGAAGGGACTGGGTCGCTACATTCCTGTACTGAAATCATCTAAACAGCTGACATGGCTGAATACCCGCTGCTTGAGGTCAGGGGCACTGAGTGCTGATCGCCTTATCCTGTGTCATATTCACGTGTCACCAGCTCCCAGCTGAACCTCCCCTTCTTGACCTACTGTGTTTCTTTCTGCTGTAAAACATTGCGCAGAACCCCCAAGTTGTATTAGAACGAGAAACGCTTCTGATGCGTAGCAATGTGACTTTACAGCATGTGAAAAGCCCTGGGAAGGGTTCTGTCTTTGATGCGTTTGGCGCTTCGTCGCTCACAGCGTCCTGTGTAACGGCTCAGACTCAGCTACGCGAGGAAGGCCGCTGGGCAGCGGAGCGCGCTTTCCACTGTGGGCTTGTCAGGGGGCTGAGGGATGGCTTTTGCGGGGCCTGCCGTGGTCCTCTCCATTCTTAAGTGGCGCTCTAGGCCCGTGGGCCGCCCTCCTCAGCCCCGCCGACTGGCACAGACGAGGGGCAGCCCCGAGGGCGTCGGAAGCGGCGTCCAGGCCCGGGAAGGCCCGCAGCCGGCCCACAGACTGAGCAGCCCCAGAGGTGATGCGGGGCCCCTGCTGCGGTCCCTGCAACCACAGTGCAGGCCCAGGGTGGGGGCGGCGTGGCCTGGCAGGCCAGCCGAAGGCGGCCACTGGGTGACAGGTGCCGGCACGCAGGGTGAGATCTTCAGGAAGAGCCTGGGCTGTGTCCACGACAGCCAAGGGAATGATGCCCCCCACAGTTGACGTGGACAGAAACAGCATGGGCACAGGTTAGGGGGCCTGGTGGGGACACAAAGGGGGCCAGGCCATGGCTCAGAGAAGCCGTTAGAGGCACTGGGGTGTTAGCCCAGAGAGGGGCGACCAGTAGACATCACAGCTGCGATCGCGGGCACCAGGTGTGCAGAGGCACCAGGCGCGGGTGGTCTGGGGCCCGCGTGGAGGCGCTGCTTCCGAATCCCGCACCCCGAGGCGGGGCGCGCCCCGGCGGCAGCCGTGGGAGACAACGGGTGTGGCAGGAGGCGGTGTCTCTCCCTGGCCTCAGGGTTGCTGCCACCTCGGCCACATGGCCCTCGCCTGCGTCCCGCACTTTGCAGAAAAAGTGGCCCATGGTCTCCACGGTCTCCCTAACCCTCGGGTGCCCGCTCCAGTGACCTCGCATATTTTTCAGGACGGCCTAGGTTCGCGGACAGGTCAGGCAGATGGCGCAGGGCGCCCGTGGGCCTCTGCAGCGCAGGCTGTCTCCTGCGCTGCCTGCTTGCGTCTCACGCGCAACTGCGCCGCACGCAGCGAGGTTGGGGGCCCGACAGGGACGCCCGGTTAGTAACGCAGGCAGGTGCATCCGGTTTCCCTCACTGTGCGCCAGGCCCGCCCTCTGCGCCCGGACCCCAGCCCTGCCAGCCCGGCAGCTCATCCCTGCGACCCCTTAGGCTCTTGTTGGCAGGGGCAGTTCCTCAGACTCTGCTTGGTGTTCGTGACGCTGGCAGTTTTGGGGTCCTGGTCAGGGGTTTTGTAGACCTCGGTTGGGATCTGCCTGACATTTTTCTCGTGATTTGACTGGGTTGCTGGTTTTTCAGACGCAGACGACTGGCCAGGTGTCGTCCTCATCACACTGCACAAAGGGCACATCCGTCCACATGACGTGTCCCTGTGATGCGACCTCGAGCCCCAGGCTGAGGGGCGCTGGCGGGTTCTCCATGTCGAGTTACCCCTTGAAATACGGTCCTCTCTGGAGGGACGTCGCGGGCAGCCCATACTTGGAGGGCGGGGACTGACCCCTCCCTGAGGACGGAGCGTCCACCCAGAGGACTTGGATGCCCTGCAGGGAGAGCCGTTTCGCGCCCCTGGTCCCCGGCCAGTCACCGCCTCCTCGCTGTGTGGACTGGCTGTTCATCCTGCTCGTTGGCTTAGACCCCAGCGCTGTTGTTTTGTTCTCTGGTTTGTTCTCTGCGTTGGCCGTTGGGAGGTGAGGTGTCCCCTATTCCTTCGACAAAGTCCCATCACTGTGAGACTGTTTTTGGTGCTTTTGAACACTTCTTGGCATGACGAGATGCTCCAGGTTCATCCTGTGCTCCTGCCTTAGTCCTAGAGCCTCCAGGGGGCCGTTTCTCCAGGGAGCCCTGTGTCCCTTTGCTGGCGACGGAATTAGGAACCGGGGCCTGGGTGCTGGCTGTCTGCTCCAGTGATTTTACCCCATTTTACAGTGGTTTGGAAATGAGTCCTCATTTTATGTTCAAAACCAAACCTCGATGTTATGAGAATACCGAAGTCATTTTTCTGCTCGTTTCCGGCCTTTAGGGAGAATGGGTTCCCAGGCTTCGACCTTGGTGGGGCCGCGAGGCGTCCCTCCCCCGGGGCCAGACGGGCTGGGGCTGGAGTCAGGGCTGCCCTGGCTGTCATGGCAGGTCGCACGCGTGTGCGGCACGCTCGTTGTCACCGACAGCCACACTCCAGAGCCCGGTGCGGCGCCTCTGACACCGGGCTGACCCCGGGACCCCTGCTGTCCTGACCTGCAGAAGCTTTTCCTAGAAGGGGCTGCGGTGCGCCAGGGAGCTGCTGCCGCGGGTGCGGGGAGAGCCAAGCACCGGGTGTCAGGAGACTCGGGGTCAGAAAACGAAGTCCCGGGCCCGGCCCCCTCCCTCCCAAGCTCAGTGACCTTGGGCGCTTGCCTGCTGCCAGCGGGAGGGAGGAGACCAGTTGCTTGGGGTCGGGCCAGGCAGGACATCGAAGCCAAGAGGGTCTGGGAAAGGAGCACCACCACTCTTTAAAAATTAATGTCGCTGACTTGAGATGCCAGTACAGATGTCATGGGAGGGTGGCGGGAGGACCAAGTGCAAGGGGTTAAGATTTTGACAACATACAGATCTTACCTCCCCGTGTACACAAAGTCAGCTGTACTTAGGAGACGGGATGTGGTCTTTGAGACCTATGCCACTTAAACCGGAACTCTTGGTGGCTTCACCCATTTGCTTTCTGTCTGTCTGTATTGCATTTATTGGGGTGACATCGGTTAATAAAATCACATAGGTTTCAGGTGTACGGTCTGTAGCATCTGTTTACTGCGCTGTGTGTCCCCCGCCCCAAGTCAGGCCCCTTCCGTCGCCTGTACCCCCTCGCCCGCCCCTCCCTCCCCACCCCCTTCCCTGCTGGCACCGCAGCGAGTCCTCTGTGTCTCCGGGGCTCTTCTGTTTCTCGGCTTGCTCTCTCCCCCTTCCTACCCAGCCCCCGGCCCCTCCCCTCTGACAGCCGTCAGTCTGGTCTCTGGATCTAGGAGTCTGTTTCTGTTTTGCTTGTTAGTGTATTTTGTTCGCTAGCTTCCACGGAGGAGTGAAATCATGGGGTACTTGGCTCATTTCACGGAGCATAGTGACCCCCAGTTCCGCCCGTGCTGGCTCAGAAGGTAAGGTTTCGTCATTACAGCCGAGAACCCGTTTGTTTGGTTTGACAGACCTCACCAGGCGCCAGGAGGCGCTGGGTCAGAGCCCCGGAGGGGCAGCGCCGCTTCCTGCAGAGCCTGGCTCCCCTGAGGCACCATCGCAGCCAAGTTCTCCTCGCCTCCCTCCTGAGCGCCTTCCTGAGGGAAGTGTGGGGCTGCCTGTCACTGTTACCATTTTCTAAAGAAGGACACCGAGCCTGGAGAGGGTTCGGTAAACTCAGAGGCGGCTAATAAAAGAGTCGGAATTCAATGACCCTCCGTCTCGGCTCCCACGCCGGCAGAGGCCTGCCTGGTGGTCGAGTCCTCCCCGCCTTCGGAGCGAGGAAATGAGTGCCCGCGGGGACGCTCCGTGAGCCGCGTCTGCGCCCAGACTGGAAATCGGGTTTATTTCTGAGTAGCCCAGGTGATGAAATCGTAGCGACTGTCTGCCTGGAAATTGGCCGTGCGTGGGGTTAATGGTGTGGAATTACTGGACCTTTGGTCTCAAAGGACTTAAGTTTTCTAGCTTTGAAATCTTAGAGTGATTGAACCTGAGACTGGAGTAGATTTGAAATCTCATTCTTGTATTCCAAATTATCTTTTCAGACCAAAATACAGGTGAAAATGGAAAAGCTCTCCTCAACTACCAAGGGGATTTGTGAACTGGAGAAGTACCACTATGGGGGGGACAGCAGGCGGCCCCCGCTGTTCCACACGTGGCCCACGGCCCACTTTTGTGAGTGCTCCCTGCGTGGGCGTGCAGGGCGGGGCAGGGGCGCCTGGGGCGTCACGGCCTGTGTGCCGAGGGGCGGGCCGCCTTGGGGATTTAATTCAGGAGGATCCATGCGGAGGGAGGGAGATGGGGCGTCTTAAGCAGGGCATTTGTTCATGGCCTTAATCACCTCATCAGCAAAGAATGTTGAAAACGTAATTAGAGACCCATGAGGCCAGCTGCCATGATTGGCCCTTTAAAAACCAATGGGTAGAATGAAGTCCACCCCCTGCAAAGGCAGAACTCTTTAGGGTTTTTTTGAAGAAAGTTTTTTGTGTTTTGTTTTGTTTTTGCTTTTTGTTTTGTTTTAATGCAGAAATAAAACTTCAGTGATCCTCATGGAAGAAGACTGCCTGGGACAGTGAAATTCATTACTTTAATAAGCTCTATGAGGCAATGTTATTTTTAGCCTTATTCAAAAGAAGGGCTAAGCTCTTTGATATTGATGTGAGATCTCATTTTTAATGAGGGAGGAAAAGGTAAAGACAGTATTTCAATACCATGGTGTGTATTGAAATATTGTCAGTCTGAGGTTGAACTACTATTTGTAACCATTGCAGGTTCTCAGTAGTTGAGGAGAAAGGTTAGAGGCGCTTTCTCGCTCACGGTGCCTGCCGGGACACCCCCTGCCAATGGGCCCCCGCTGCGGCCCTTAATCTCGGGGCCGTTGCTGATTCCGGTGGGCAGCAGCGGGCTGGCCCCGGGGCGGTCTCCCCCAGGCACGGGCGCTTCCTCAGTTGCTGCCACTAAAGGGAGGCTTGCGTGTTGCAGACGAGGTTGCCCGCCAGCTCTGCGCCATGTACGAGGAGGAGCTGCTCCTGAAGCGCACCATCGTGGCGGAGCTCGCGCACACCACGGACCGCGACCTCGCCCTGACCTACCTGTCGCTGTGGCTGCACCAGCCCTGCGTGCGGAGCGACAGCAAGCTGCTTCTGGAGAGCATGCTGCTCGAAACGGGGCACCGAGCGCTGTGACCGCGGCTTCGCGCGGGATTTCCAGGCCCCGCCTGCACCGCTGGCTTCCACGGCCCCCATGTGGGCAGGCTTGCGTGTGGGACCCATGCGCGTTCCCCAGCGCCACACCCGGGCTCTGGCATGGCCCCCGCCGACCTTCCAGGGTCTTCCAGATGGGACTGTCTCACCGGCTCCCTGCAGCCACTCCAGACATACGTGTTAGCGTCCGCAGGCCGTCTGCCACTCTGCTTCACCTGTCCCCATTGTGAACCTGTCGCCCACAAGGGCCTCGCATGAAATAAACGAGCTCCTCAGCAGAATGATGGCGTGATCCTGTTTCTGCGAATCAGGTGTATGTTGGGTGGATTACGTTTGTGTAGAAAATCCCTGGTTTAATGTTTATACTTTATACTTGTATTTGAGTCTTTGAGACTATAGTTCTGTAAGTACAGCTAATGTTTAAAATGCCGTAGAGTTAACTGGGCAATGACAGCATCGTGGAAAACAGCATCCCTACAAAAGGACTGCCTGCTTAGGACCGACCGAGTGACGTTTCTTCCGAGTAGCTCTCCCAGCAGAAATGCTACCGTTGGGCAGTGTTTGCAGCCAGGCATGGGGCAGGGGGTCAGTTCTGCTGTGCTCCCCAGAAACAGAAGTCTAAGAAATGTCAGGCTATGAGATGCGGGGTGGAACCTCACGCAAGTGAAGTTCTCGTGTCCCAGGAACAAGTGCTTCCCAGGGAAGGGAAGAAAATATACCACAAATAAAAGGCTTCATATCTGAAAGGGATTATTTTAAGAAGTCAGGCTCTCTCACTGTGCAATTTGACCTATCAAAAGCATTTAAAGGCAACAATTTTTAGAATTTCTCTTGCCTCTGCCTTTGCAGTAGTTGCTAAAATCCAACCATATAAAAGCATCCCGTCGGACATCTTGCAGGCTGGAAACCACATGGCTGGCGCCTGAGCCCGGGGCCGGTGGGCAGGGTCCCTGGAGGCACGGGTCCGGCAGCAGTTTTATGTTTGAGGGAGCACTTAGAGAACAAATGCTCTTCAGAGGAGACACTGAGCAATTTCTGCCATTTCGGGGCCTCCTGGGACATGTCATGTTTCCTGATGCCTCATCCCCTGGACAGCTAGTTGCCCAGGAGAGTTAATGGAAAGGATCAATACTGCAAAGGACAAACAGAAGTGGAAGAGCTAAGTAAGGCACAAATTATCCAGTGGCATTCACCCAGAGATCTGTCACAGAACCGAGGAGGTATCAAATTTATGGAAGAGATCTCTGGTGGTTGAATCTGCTGAGTTCCAAAGTCCCTACACAAATTTAGAAAAAACCTGCAAAACAGTTTCTATCTGAAAGAAACAATGAAGTCATGAGAGAACCACTACCGGACTTCTGACCATCGCGGCTTAATCACAGCAGCCCGATGTCCCCTCCTCTGCCTCCAGAACTCTTGCCCAGTAGACAGGAAAGGAATATCACAGTGCCAGCAAAACAGAGAACAGGATTGCGGAAAGGTCTAGGGATGGAGTCATGAAAAGTACCTTTAATTAAAACTAAACACATACATACATTAAACATATCTATATGTTTGTATGTATAAAACCCCAGGAAACCCAAAGGCTCATACAAAAGCATAAAAGTTATCATAATGTACCATACAGAGCTCAGCTGTGCACAATATTTGCATGTCATAAATAAAAAGGAGAGCTGGTTTTTTAAAAAAATAAGTCTTAGAAAAACAATACTTTAAACCATATTCACGTTTGATTTTGTTAAAAACAAAAACCAAACAGCACTCTTGGCTGGTGTGGCTCAGTGGATTTAGTGCCAGCCTGCAAACCGAAGCATCACTGGTTCGATTCCTGATCAGGTCACAGGGCTGAGTTGCAGGCCAGGTCCTCAGTTGGGGGCATGTGAGAGGCAACCACACATGGATGTTTCTCTCCCTCTCTTCCTCCCTCCTTCCCCTCCCCTCTCTAAAAAAGTACCTACGTAGTCAAATAATTAAAAAATGAAAATAAAAACCAAATAACACCACCAAAAAAAATATCCAAGGCCATTATCTCTAGAAAAGCAGAAGCTTACAAGAAAACGTCCTGATACAGAGGCTCAGTGGTGAACGTTTACATTCCAGTGTATGAAGCAAGTGCCGACTTAACACCAGCACGCGAGACGGACAGCCAAGTGTGGGGGGGAAGGCGTGTTGCGCCCCGTCCCCATGTCTCAGTGGATCGTCCCTGGACACCATCTGACATGAACAGATCAAAGCAGCCAGGCAGCCACAGTTCGGCAGGCCACCGAGGGCTGAGGTCCAGCCAGTGCTGCTCATCAAGGCCCTTTGGTAGCACTTGACGTAAACTATGCACATGTGTTCCCTAAATGAAAATTAAAATTTGAAAATATAGTCCTTAGCCCTGGCCAGGTAGCTCAGCTGGTTGGAACGTTGTCCCTCTACACCAAGGTTGCGGGTTTGATCCCTGGCCAGGGCACATACAAGAATCAATGAATGCATTGGTGGGACAACGAATTGATCTTTCTCTAAAATCAACAAATTAAAAAAACACACGGACCTCAGAGGGCATTGAAGACGGACTCCCACAGCACTCCGCTTCCCATGCGGCTGTCCCCACCCCATGGCTGGTGGACGGGGTGGACGTGGCACAGCTGCTGAACCAGGACTGGTGCCGTGCTGAGGGCTCAACACAGGACCACCCGAAGGCCTGCGGTGGCCGCTCTGCACAGCCACTCGGGCGGTGTGTGTCCAGGCTCTGTCTGAGGCCTCAGCTCCTGCTCCTATTCTCAGTACCTCGAATTATAAGCACTGTGTATACAAGAGAAAGTCCCTGATGAGAAAGGGACATTCCCGCAGTTCCGGTGTGACGTCACATCTGTCCAGGCGGTGTGGTGACAACGCTGCCATGCTGCAATCCGCCTCGGTATTGGGGTCCTGCAAATTCTGCCCGGGCACAGACGGCACGCGCCCTCGCAGCCGCCAGCAGGCCTGCGGGCACAGGCCGAGTTCACCTGTGGCTGCCGCTGTCACAGCCTCCTGCGCTTCCAGCCACGCACAGTGCGGCAAGTGTTTCACTCCCGTTAAATTCACTGCCCGTTTATACAGGACGTACACAATGGCGGAAGTAAGATGTGTTGGGCTGTTCCATAGACAATGCCCTATAGATAGAATAAACTCGTATTTACCAGGCTCAGCCCGGACCTCAGTCAGACTTGATCTGGCTTCTTGTGTCAGCTGCCCGACAGGTCATCAAGGACTGGAGCTCTGCGCTTTATGCCTCACTTTCCTCATTCACAAAGCACAGGCAGACATCTTTCCTTCCTACTTCTTCATAAAATGCTGCCGAGAATGGCTGGTGTATTTATTTATTTTTTTACTGAACCCAGAAGCAGCTTCCAGTCCGGCCCAGGTCTGGCGGAAAAGCAGCACCCACCGAGGAGCGAGGGGACAGTCGAGTCACGGTGGGCGGTGCAGGCGGCAGCTGCGCCCGCAGCTTCCGAGAGCCAGACACGCGGGAGGGACCCCTCATCCGGTGACCCACGGCCACGGCCACAACGGAAAAGAAGGCAGATGGTGGGCGGCGGGGGGGGGGGAGTGGAGTGTAGAAAGGCATCCTTCTTCATAAATAAAATGCTTGTTTGTGTCAGTATTCACATTAGAAAAATATACATCACTTGAAACAGACCCGCTTTGGACAAATACACACACATCTAGGGCTGGGGCCCTGACTCCATCTCACTGGGAGGGCTCTGCCTCCCCGGCTGCTAGAGGAGCCCCGCCGCGGGGCCCGTCTGCAGGACAGGCCCCTCCGCTTCGGTCAGTATGACAATGTCCTCCCCGGACACGACAGAGCCTGCGTGGGGCAAGAGAAGCCCGTCGGAAGTCTGAATAAATATCTGCTCCTGTCCCTGAGACAGCAGCTCATGGCACCCGTTGGTGATTTCAAAAACCACGGCTTCGCCCACAGCAACGATGCTCTCCAGTTCCCTCTGGTGGGCGTGTGTCCCTGTCCTGTGGGAAACCTGGTCCAAGTCCCCCACGTGGCTTCCAAGACCCCCTTCAGTAGACGGCTGAGGTGCGGTGCCGTAAGCACAGTGCATCGGCACAACACGCACAGACAAGACTCCCTCGGGCGGAGGGGCTACAGTTCCCGCACACAGGGCCTCCCTGGGGCTGGAATGCTGGTCACGCACGGGGGAGCCTGGCACCTGCCCGAGCTTTCCTGCCTCGGTGTGTCCAGACCCACCAGGCAGCAGGGATGCCACCCCTCCCTCGGACATCACGCTGCTGCAGAGCCCCTGGTCCCCTGGGCTGCGCCCAGCCTCTAGGCCTGAAGGGCATCCCCGAGCACTCTCTGTGGGAAACGCTGCCGTCGGCTCCAGGGCCGGCATCCTGGGCTGCCCTGGCTGAGCGTGAAGACCGGGCCCAGCGATGTCCTGATGCGAGGGCATGGAATCTGCAGATGCACTCCTGGCTGTGGAGACCGCAGGCGCTTCCAGCTGCCGGCCCACCTGGGGGGCGCCTGGGTCCTGATCAGAAGCCAACGTTGCGTGGCCGTCTTCAGGACGGTGACAGGCGTGCCCGCTCACTTGAGCAATACCTAAATAGTGCGGGAAACAGGTAATCAATCAATCCTATGTGTGCTGTTATGGCCTGTTCATGGCACTCACTATCCAAAACAAGCTGGTCGATAAACTCTGCTCGCTGCTTAGACTGGGGGCTTCCCGTTGCAGATGAAGCTGCAAGAGGAAACCCAGACCCCCGAGGCAAGGGGAGCTGGGAGCCAGAGTGCTCTTGGTTCTCGCGAATGAACCCACCACCCTACCCACCACAGAGTTAAGTAATAAGTCGGAAAATGGAGCCTGCCTCTTCCAACCAGAGACCTTCGTTCCTGGGAGGTGGCCCTGATGGGCTCTCAGAAAGTTTACCCTTATTCTCCGTACGCCATCTGTTCAAAGAGTCTAATTGATAGGTTCTGGCTAGAGCAGGAGTGAAAGCCAGCATATGCCTTGTTTTCAAATGTTAAATCTCTGCTGGCACTTAGAACTGAGTCTCACAAAAGCCGACCGACCACAGGCTCAGCGTATCCCAGGGCCCGGCCCTGCTCTTGGTGCCGCCCAACTTCTTGGGCCCCTCGGGCACACCGCCCTCGACCAGGCGGGAGGTCTAGAATGTGGGGAAGCTGGGATGAAGCTCTTGAGAAACCAGAGGGCTCTCCTGGATGTGGCCACAGGGGCACCAACCCTGAAAAGCAGGCCTCTGAGCCACGGGTGCGACCATGACAAGCGCTTTACCCTCGCTGGCCGCCGGGGCACCCCCAGCCGGCTTCCGCTGGCCTCCGCTGTCGGCAGAAGACTCAGTGGGCTCCTTGGGCAGAGCTGCCCTCCTGCTCCTTTTCGCTGAGGCCGGCCCCGCCTCTGCGGTCTAGGAAGAGAAGACCTGAACAGCTAAGACGAGGAGGAAGCAGGTGGACCGGCACCCCTTCCTCCTGGAGTCCAACGCATCCCCCGAGGTGAGCGGGCACCTCTGCGCACCACGCCCACCTCGCTCTCCCGCTTCCGGGGGCCGGCTGCCTCGGGCTCTGCACTGCCCTCCTCGCGGCAGCTGCACGCGTGCGGCACGCCGTCTGTGCGTGTCTCCTTCTTCCACGGGAATTCTTCAGTGATTCCCAGGGACGCGGCAACCTGAGGAGAACGACGTGTGAGGACGCCAGGCCTGCGTGCGTACCTGCCAAGTCCCCCTGTGCAGCGAGGCGCCACCCGAACACTGAGAAAAACAAAGGTCCGCACAAAGCTCGATGGAAGAGCTGGTGGCAAGATGGGTTGTAGTCAGAGCCAGACGGCCTGTGTTCGCAGTTTAAGACACACTCAAATGATGTTTTAAAAAATGTGAAACACTCTCTTTAGTGTCCCCACAAGCTTAATAATGTGGGTCTGCCTATCCCGGAACGGTATCTCCCCTCCCGGCTGGCGGGGAGGACGTGGGTTTGGGAGGCTGGGAGCCCCGCTTCCCTGCTCACGGCCTGGGTGGCCCTGGCAGCCGCCCATCTGAGACCACAGCTGCTGGGACGGGGTTGGGTGAGGACCACAACAGATGCCGTGCGGGCGGCAGCGGGTGCGAAGGCCGTGACTGACAGCCGCCAGCCTGCCCGCGCAGGCCTCACGGGGAGGGCGCACGAGCAGGAGCGGCAGGTGGAGGGGCGGGGCGGTCCGAGCTGGACAGGCCTGGCGGCGGCGGGGGGGTGCGGGCAAGCTCAGCCCCCACCAAGCCGACGGTGTCGCCATGCGGGGACTGTCAGAGCCCATGGAAGGTTCACCGGCACGGACAGTGGGGGTGGGGCCTTGGGTCCCCGTGCAGGCCCATGAGAGCCCGAGTGACCTGACCACGTGGTGCCTGCTATGCGTGCCCAAGGATCTGCTCCTCGCTAAGTCAAACATGCCTTCTTAAAAACATGTTTCTGTCAAGAACCCAATATAGACAGAGGCAACGACATTGAAATGAGAAATTTTCAAACACAAACAGTAACTGCTGGTCTCTCTGTAACCCATCCCCAAAAACCTACACGATGAAGAACACCCTAATAACCACGGCATTAACGCTGATCATCAGGGAGGACTACCGTGCTGTCAGTTTTCTTATTTATTGACTTTTGGAGGGCGGGGGGAAAGAGGGACAGGCAAAAGCATCGATCTGATAATTCCTTGGTCGCTTCTTGTATGTGCCCTGAGAGGGGAATTGAACCTGCAACCTCAGCGCATCTGGACAACGCTCTAACCAACCGGGCTACCCAGCCAGGGCTGGTGTCAGTTTCCTTTTAGCTAATCTGCATTTCTGAGTGTTCTTAAAAAAAAAAAAACAAAACCATTTACCACCTTTATATGAAGAGAAAATCCTGCACTCAATGGGAAAAGAGCTAAAAAGCAGCTGACAATGAAGATGTCACTGCAGAAATACATTCTTCTTTTCAAGGGACACCCTTCCTTCCTTGACCTCTATGAGGAAAACTCCCCCGTGAGACCATTACCTCATTATTGTTTATTTCCAGGGGCTCCTGGGAACATGGGCCAGAGCTATGAAGGTACTCTTGATACATTTTCTTAACCATTTTATGCAACTCCTCAAATTCCTTGTACACAGCTGGGAAAAAAGGCCTTGCCAGATGATCTTTTTCAACCTTAGTGAAGATAAAGATGACAACAATGTTTAAACCCGAGGCAACGATATGGGAAACACAGAAAGAAATTTAAAGGAGAGAAGGATACAGGCTCCTCAGGCCTCAGTTTAGGCCCGGCAATGCGGGCGTGTCCTTCGCACCCCAGTGAGAGCCTGCTGTGTCCCAGCAGAATGGGCGCGGGGGCGCGGCAGGAAGGCCCGAGGACAGGTGTGTTCACAGGCCCGGCGAGGGGAGGAGCGGAGGGCGGGGAGGAGGGCCGGAAGGAGGGCCAGGCCTCCTCTCCGCCAGGGCTGCGGAGCTGGCGTGTCCTGGAAGTGGGAAGTGTAGGTGCGGGCAGCTAGGCCGCCTCAGAGTGGGCTCACCAGGCAGCGGAGGCCGGCAGGGAGGGGGCGGGCAGCGAGGGTGCAGGCCAAGGTTCGCTGCTCCCCTTGGGTGCCTCTCACACAAAGTCAAAGCAGTCGAGGGGGCCCAGGAGGGGCCTGCCTGAGACCCGGCCGAGTAGGCAGCAGCCCCACCCAGGCATCCAGCGGGCCCAGCAGCCTCACGTCAGCTCTGTCCCGGAGGCTAACGACTCCAGAAGGACTCGCTCATTCTACATAACGTCTAAGCATCCCCTAGATCGTTCAGAAACACGAAGAAGACCCACCTTCATCAGAAGAAATTCGTACACGGTCACCGCCTGAGCCAGCTCGGGCAGAGCCAATTCCACCAGATCCTGCCGGTCACACTGGTGGAGAAACTACCAGAAGAAAGTGTTTGACATCTTTGAGAGCCCACAAGCATCTCCCAGTAGCCAACAAGTTGGTGCAATAAAGAACATAAAAGAGAGGAAGTTCCCCCAAAATCTCAGTGATGAAGCAACTCTAACCTATAAACGTTGTGCTGTATCAACATCTCCCTTGTTCGCCCGTTACTAGCGCATTCCTGGGACCAACTCTGGACTCAGAGTGTGACGCCCCCGTGACAGCCCTGAGCACACGTGGAGACCAGGTTCTGGACAAGGACACAGGGCCGAGGACACGCCTGCCCACCTCTCCAGGGCTCCCAGCCAGCGCCAGAGACAAAGATGCAAAGAAGTTCCGAGACGGCCGTTGTCAGGACACCTGCACTGAACGCAGGTGGGAGAGGATGAGGACCCAGGTGACAGGTGACGGCACGGCTGGGTGGGTATCGGGAGAGATGCAGAAGGGCGCAGTGCTCAGGGCTTAGGGGCGGAAAGTCTCGCGAGGCACGGAAGGACACGCGGCTCGGGGAGGGTGGGGGCGGGAGCGGCCTGGGAGGGGCTGCGGGGGCTGCAAGGGCCCTGAGCAAGGCGCGTGGTCCGCAAACAGAGTGGCCTGCAAAAGCCCTTTGAGACGGAAGGCCCGCTGGCGGCCAGCCCTGCCCAGTGCGGGAGGCCGGAATGCGGGTGTCACCTCGCCACACCTGGCCCACCGCAGAGAGGGCACCTCCTCCGCCCTGGGCTTCCCACTCAGGCCTGCCTGGCAGTTGTCACTGACTGGTGTGGTTGTTGTCTGTCCCCCAGAGTGGGGGCCGAGTCCATCTTGTGCACCGGTCCCCTCCACACTCAGGACAGGGCCTGAAATGTGACGGACAGCCAGTGTGCACCCCATTTCTGAGGGACTCCCCACTCTGAGCCGAGTGGTCCCGCCGGAGCGGTCCTCGGCCCTCCGTGCGCCGGGCGCGGCACCGGGAGCCGGCACGTGGGATCACCACGTGAGAGTCGCCGCTGTACCAAGCAGACGGGCCCCCCTGCTCCCAGATGCCCTGTCAGGTGTGGGCACCACACACCCTGGGGATCCAGATTCTGCATCCGCCACCTGCAGGGTGACTGTGGGCAAGCTATTAGCCTCTTTGAGTTTCAGATTCCTCATCCATTAGGTCAAGGTAGTAACTGTCATGGAACCAATGAAACGAGGGGCACCTGGAGCTCAGCACAAGGCTAGCGGTGCAGGTGCGGGGGAGCCAGGCCACGCCAGGCCACGCCCACAGGCGGTGGCAGCTCGATGCTAACGCGAGTCCAAGACCACCTTGCCTCCCGCACCTAAAAACTGGTCATCCCAGGTTCATGAACAAGTCCCCCCGCCCCCACAAAAGCTACCTCACCTGGGCTTCCATTTCCCACAAGAACCTCACGGAGCTTTTCAGGAAACCCACGGCGCCTTCCTCGGGCCAGTTGCCTCTAACTGACCTTGTGCTCTCTTGCTATCTTTCACTTCTCTTGTGTGAGATTCTAACCAGCTATTACCCGGCAAATAAATACATCCTGGCCGAAGGCGACTTGAGTGAGTTTAGCGTCCCCCTTTCCCAAGCCTATCCAACCAAGCCCAGCACACCCACTTCCAAGGCGCCGCAATGGGGATTCCAGGGCTCAGCTCCTGAAACATGCTTTTCTACCTGGAAACTTTTTACAAAAGAAGAGGAAAGAAAAGGGGGAAAAACAAAAACCAAAACCCATTTCTGTTGTTTTCTAGATAGCTTCCATGAAAACACAGGGTAAAATTTTCCCAAAACCTATCAAGGCAAGCAGCTGTTGCCATAGGCAAGGCACTCTGGTCATCTGAAGCACTGAACCATTTCAGGTAGCACGACGCTCGACGTCACTGCATACTTCACCCAGTCACATCCCACGGGAACTGCAGAGCTACCTGGGCCTTTACTTCCAAATGCAGAAGCCTAAGAGGGAATTGCCACCCACCGCGCCAAGCAGGTTTCAAGACAGAGTCGAAGAGTGGCCTACCTCCTGGAGGCCGGCTCTGCTCCTGGCCGCGCTGCTCGGCTGCGGGGTGGCCGCGCGGGGCTCCGCGGGGGCCGCAGCACAGCCCCTTGCAGGGCCTGTGTGTCTCCCCGTTCCCAGAAGGGCTGAGTAACTTCCATCTGCTGCTTCAGACCCCACCGCCTCTTCCGCTTCTACAGACGGGCCATCCTAGATGGTGTTGGAGGGGGAAAAACGGGGGGCACATGCTCAGCGTGTCACTGCTGATGCCCAAGGCAGCAACCCTGTGGGACGCTGTCCCCAGCCCCCACCTTTCCCGAGGCCCGCGGTCCCGTCCCCTGTGAGTGCGCAGCGAGGGGTCTCACTGACCAGACCGGAGGAGTGGCGAGCGCGCTCTCTGAACCCGCTGCTCCAGACAGAAGACGCACCTCACTTACCGGGCAGCGGGGCTGGCAGGTGGGGTCTCAGATTCCCCAACACGGCGACTTGGCTTCTCTGCTCGAGCCTCTGCCTGACCCCCCTCGAACACCGTAAAGGTTAATTTAAGGATGACGGGCAGCGACAGGGACACCGTGACCAGATAGAAACGTTACCTGCAGGCCGCCCCGCGCAGACGCCAGGCCGGCTTTCCCAGCGGCTTCCCTGGGCAGCAGCGCCTCGGGCTGCGGCGGGCCGTGGCCTGGGTTCAGCTTGAAGTGCCGCGCCAGCCCCCCCCTGCCTATGTAGGACTTGTCGCAGGCCTGGCACGCGAAGGCCCGGGGCCGCAGGGCGCAGCCGGGCACCTCGATGCGTGCCTGCCCCTCCCGCCGCCGCTCCTCCTCGTCCTCCGCGCTCAGCTCTGCGTAGTCGTCCGAGTCCGACAGGTGGCCGTCGGCCAGGTCCTCCGTTTTTATGAATCTGTAATCTTTCGCTTTATACTTGGGAGGTCGAGATATCCGCCCGGAACGTGTCTTCACCTTTAAAGACTTCTTCAGTTTCTCAGTGTGTTTTGTATGCAAGTTGGAAATCAACAGATTTGCTGAACTGGATGAAGCAGGTGTTATCGCCGGCGGGTCAGAAGCTGACCGCGGGGCCAGCGTGGCGCCTGGTCCATCTGGAGCCTCGGGGGCCACAGCTCCCTTCGCAGGGACTGGCCGGAGGGTGGGCAGTGGCCGCTGCACAAACACCTGAACAGGCGGCCGTGGCTGCGTGCCCAGGAGGGGCTGTGCCCCAGGCAGCTGCGGGCCGGCGACGCTGAGCGCCAACACGCTGCAGTGCCGCCGCGGCAGCTGGCTCAGCCTGGCTGTCCTGGGCTGGATGGCGGCCAGCTGGGGCAGCAGCCTTTCTTGACCTTTCGTTTCTCCAGATGTTACCTTGACACAGATGGCTTCCAGTTGCTTAAAGAGAGAAAAAGTGTTTAGTTAATCAACATTTCCACAATTCTTCTCTCACCTTAAATCCACTATTGAAAGTTTTTCTCAATTATGAAATGCATCTTATATAAAAGTCTATGTATCTGTACTGTTTATAGCAATGTTTCTTAACCTTTCTGACCAGACCACAGGGATATATTTTACTTCACATCCATAGGTTCATGCAGAAACATTTGCATATATAAATAATATTAAGAGTTTATGAAACTACGCACCACTCCTACATAAATGCCTACGATTATACCCATTGTACTAGTCATAATCCACTGAATGGATTTCATGACCTATTAAGAAATATCTTCCCTTATAGTTTTACATGTGTATTTACTTGGAGTTCTCCACCCTCAAGTGGACTCAGTTCAGTATGTGGGCTCATTTTTAAAAGTTTTTAATGAAGTTTTGGAAACCGAAAAAGCGGTAAAGGACAGGCCCTGCCGCCTCCCTCGAGCTGGCGGCGCTGCCGCGCCCCCGGCCTGCCCCGTTCTCCCGGGCTGCACGCCCTCTTCTCCCCTACACGAATGTGTTGTTAACCGTCCTCATGCATTTTTATATTAGGTATGCAGACATCCAGAGAAATATGTACTTCGGTTTTGACAGTTTTTAAACTTTACATGAGTGCGTATCATCCCCTGCAACTTGGTGGGGCTTAACTTGCTCTGCTGCTTGTGAAATGCATCGTGTTGAGACGTGTAGCTCTTGGGGGTCCCTTTTCCCTGCTGTGTGACAACAGCACTCTCCCGCTGATGGGCCGGTGGTCTCCAACCTGTAGTCTATGGTCTGCTGTGAACCCTTATGCATGCGTGTGTACTTGTATGTATGTGTGTCCTCTTTCTCCAGGGCACAAACGGAGGAGTGGGGCCATAATATCTTCAACAACTTTTTTTTTTTTTCATTTAAACACCTAACAAAATTCTAAATGCAAGTGCTTTGGGCCCACCAAGTCTGCTTCCTGAATCCCGTAAGAAACCCGGGCAAGGGCACAAAGACACCTGTCTCGGAGACTCCGGGCAGGCACGGCCTGCAACAGGCAAGGGGAAGGGGAGGGCTGCGGTCCACAGTGACCCACAGCGACCCACAAGTGGTTACCGGGCGGTGGCTCTGTGCCCAGGGGAACGGTGTGAGTGCCGGGGATACAGCTGTCCCGGGCTGCAGGCCCATGCGGCACAGCGACGTCCCTGCCCTCTCAGAGCAGGGACCACGAGCACCCTTCTCCAGGGAGAGGAGAGGGACAAACCTCATCAACCTGGGCAGGCTTTGCCGACCCCAGCACAGCGGGCACGTGGGACCAGCAGTGCTGTTCTGGGGCTGTCCTGTGCGTAGCCGGATGTTGAGAAGCACCCTGCCTCTGTCCACGAGACGCCAGCAGCACTACCTACATTGTGACAGCCAGACATGTCTCCAGACATTGTCAATGTCCCCAGAAGAGAACCACTGATTGGGGGCCACCAACAGGCCCTCTTTAGACTCCAACTTTTACTAAATGGAGGTCAACAAAAATGATTAGATTTACATTACATTTTAAGAATCACATTTGTTTCATTTTACTATCAGTTACTTAAAATATTTCTCTAAGCTCTTAGGATATTACCTGATAAGGCCATTAAACCCAGGGGCACACCCGTGTGCACACACACACATGCACACACCCGTGTGCATGCACCAAGCCAATAACCCTATCGTTTTTGCACAGTGGCAAAAACAGCCTCAACTGCTAATTCACTACAGACACTAGTCTACCACATGGGCGTTTTACGTGGTATTTTGCTGTATGTTCGCTTCATTCAGTGGACATTCTCTGAGTGTCTCGGGGCCGACCCACAAACAAGTGAAGTCCTGCCTCACCCTTCGTGGGGCGGGGCCCTGCCTCAGTTGCCTGCAGACTTGCTCAACCAGATCTCCCATCTCAACACCTGTCCTTCCAAAAGCTCCGCGGCTGATTCCAAGGGCAGACTAGGTGCCCTAAGGAGCGCGGCTGGGAAAGGCCACCACGCACAACAGAGGCAGGAGGCAGGGGCCACCCCCAAGGGGTAGGCTTCCCGGAGAGACAGCTCCCTGCAGAGGCCGGGAGGCTGAGTAGAGTTTTTGCCTCAGGTAAGAAAGGTATTCTAGGTGTAAGGAAAAACAACAGGGCCCTGCACGTTAGAGGGAAACAGCAGTGTTTCTGGGGGACAGGCACAGGAGGGGTGGGGAGGCACAGGAACCAAAACCTGACCCCCGGGAGAGCGCGTCCTCCAGGCCTGTGTCTTCCGATCCACACCACCCCCACCTGGAGCCACGTTCCCCAAGTGCACCCCCGGCCCCCACCCACGCCTCTCTGCCTCTGCACGTTCACAGGGCACCCACCCTCCAAACCCAGTGCGGTGGCCACCTCTTCCATCAAGGCGCTTCTGATGCCCCCACCAGAAAGAACCTCTCCCTTTTGCTAACCGTGTTTCTGGCTTTCTGACTGGGATCAGAAGTTACCTGAGGCCTGTTTCACCTGCCCCGTTAGAGTGCCTGGTCACTCCCAGAACCTGCCCTGTGCCCTCCGTGGAGGGCGTGTACACAGTAAGTCCCACTTACCGTGCACCCTCCTCAGGGGCAAGGTACACACCTGGCGCGCCTTGGTGGCCTCCGCGGCCCAGCTGGGGCTCAGCCCGTGCTAGCTGAACGGGCCCTACGAGTGCTTCACTGCGGACTCGGGCAGGACTTAGGGCATCCCAATGAGATTAGCTACAGAATACCATTGGGCCGCCTCACTCCAGCTAAGTTCGCTTTCATCGGATGGAAAATGTCATTTTTGGACTTTTTCCTAAGTTGCCACACCAAACCCAAAAGGCTGTGGGCCCGCTCGACAGGCCCTGGAGAGCAGCCACATCTGGGGGACCTGGGGGCCGGGGGGGGGGGGGGGAGCTGCTCCGCCTCCCTGGGCCTGCTGCTCATCCATAAGACGCTGACGCCACGCTCCTGGGGGGCTGCTGGGCCCCCGGGCAGCCCGGGCGCAGTCCCAGGCGCGGGGCAGCGTCTCTGTAAACAGCAGCCACCGGCCCCCTCCGACCCCCGGGGCTTGCTGTGCCCAGCTTCTGCGGGAGGCATGGGTTTCCACGGCAGAGCAAGAGCCCGAAAACTCACCCAATGAGCCATCCCTCTTGCGAATGAGGAAACCGAAGGCCCAAGAGGTTGTTACCCAAAGTCACGGCTTTGGGAAGCAGTTTGGGCAAAATCATAGTTGTCTTGGGCTTCGGGGGGCTACACTCGGGAGCCTCTGCTGCAGACCCGCCTGCCCAGGAGCCAAGAGCTGCGTGGCCCTGGACATGACGCCACTGAGAAACGGGGCCTTGTCGTGTACCGCGTGCTTCTGCACGTTTCACACGCAAAGCATGTGCCAGGCACTGAGGTACAAGCCCGGGCTGCCAAGTCCTGCGCCAAACACCACAATGGACTTAATTCTGCCCCAAGTCGCAGCACCTGCCACTTGGAAAGTCCTCTACGTTGGTTCCTTTTGATCTAACCAGGTCGCCGGCGTCGGGCCCAAGGACGGCTCGCTCTAAAGCGGCGCCTGGTCACTCCCAGAACCTGCCCTGTGCTCTCCGTGGAGGGCGTGTACACGGTAAGTCCCACGGGGTGCGGAATGGGTGACAGAAGCCCGCGAGAGGGGCCGTGAGACCGAGAGGGCGTACGGGCAGCGGCGAGCGCCGGGCGGGGACGGCGGGGACGGCGGGACGGGGTGCCGACCCCGGGCGCTTCGCGTGTGGACACTGAGCTCTACGGCGGGCGCCTTCGGCCTCTCCGGCCCGGCAGCTCTAGGCCGACGCGGTGACGCGGAGGCGCGCCCCACCCCCGGCCTCAGTTTCCCCACGTCCCTCCCGGCGCCTCACCTGAGGCGGCAGCAGGCGCGGCGGGCGCGGGGGCTCGGCGCCCGGGCCACTCTGCAGGGCAGCCTGCTGGGCCGCGTCCCGCAGCCGCCGCACCGCGTCCTGCAGCACGAAGGGCGGCGGCGGCTCGGCGGGCGGCTGCGCCTTCGTCACCTGCTCCAGGACCCGCCGCAGCTGCTCGGGGCCCAGTGGGGCCACGCGCACGGCGCTGCCGCTCCGGGCGGAGGGAGCCCGGCCGCCGCCGCCCTCGCCGCCGCCCTCAGCTCCCGGCTCCGCGCCCGCCATGGCAGCGACACGGGGACTCGAACCGCAGCTCCTGAGGGACGGCGGCTTCGATATGCGTCACCTGGAAAAGAAGCGGCTACGAGTGCCCGGTAAGCCAAGAAACCTCGGAAGGCGACCGCAGCCCGCGCGAGCCGGGGGGCGGGGCCTGGCCTTGCCCCGCCCTGTCTCCGCCTCGCCGAAGGCGGAACCAGCCAATAAAGAGACGCCTGCCGTGGACTTAGCCTCGCGAGGTCACCTCCTCCAGGAGCTGTCCAGGGTCTCCTGGGCTCAGATCTTCGGGGTTCCAGCGCCCCGGCCTGTCATCCAAATATTCTCAAGGGCGTGTGCATCAGAGTCCCCTGAGGCTCCTGCCTGGACTTGTAGATTCCTGGTCCCTACCTCCAGACAGTCAGAGTTAATAGGTCTGGGAAGGAATTCAAAGTGTGCATTTTTCCACCAGTGTCCCCCCAGGACGACCCACCCCGCTCTACCCACTCACCCAGGCTGGGCACAGAAGCCCCGGCCCGGGGTGCCGCTCGGGGAACGAATGATGGGCGGACGAATAGGAATGAAGGAATGAATGAATGAGCGCACAGCTAAGGAAGCTTCCCACGCTCCTGCACGCTCAGTCCCCAGCTCTGTCGCCCCTCGCCTTCTGCCCAGCATTCCCTGCTCTGCCCGCCCTTCGCTCTGCTGCTGTGCGTCCTGTAGGTGCCGGTGTGTGCGTCGGTCTCAGCTTCTCTCCCCGAAGTGCGCAGCAGGGCCACAAGTCAACAACCACTTCCTACGCGTCTGCTGGAGATCCTGCCTTCCAGATAGCCGTTTTGGCAGGAAACAGAAGGAGACGGGCATTTGCCGTGTAATATTATGAGTGCCATCACACCCCTGAAGGGGGAGGCGGGGGGGGCCAGGCCGGTGGGAGAGAAGCTTCTGGAAGCCCTTCGGATCATTTTTCTCTGCACAGGACCATCGTCATCGTCACCATCAGCATCATCGATACCCCTGCTGCATCCACTGCGCTCTCTGCAGCGCTCAACTGGATTCATTAGGAGCCTCACTAAGGACTGGCCAGAGGGGAGGCCGGAGGGTGGAATTTGCTTCAATAAACTTTTACAAGAAAGCCCTTTTCATCCTCCCGCCCTCAGATGTTAAAGAGGACCCCTCTGGCCCCTACACCAAGAACTTTCCCCTTCACCCAGCACCCCATTTTGTCATCTTGGCAAATGTCAGGGAGGAAAAACCCATTTATGGGGGGTTTTTTTGGGGGGGGATGTGCAAATTAAACATCAAAAGACAGATTTACAAGATAAAAGACAAAATTTAATCATGTGCTTTTATTAATGCGCCTACCAGAGTTCACAGAAAAATGCGACTCAAAGAGGCATGTGGGGCTTCTACAGCGTGTTAATAGGGGGAGGGAAGGGGCAGAGGCAAGGAGGGGGAAGCCAGCGACTGTCGGGACAGAGAAACGGGCCGTCCCCGGAGCGGAGGCCGCTCGGCCGGCTTTGCGGCCCCGCCTTTGTCGGGTGCGGGCTCTCCTGCGACGAGTCGGTTCTCCCTGACCGCTCCCCAGGAAGGCGATTGACGACCGAATGCTTTTCAGTGTTTTAGGAAGGCTCTGCCTTTAGGCCGAAAAAACTGTCCGGGAACTCGAATGCCTTCTGCTCAAAACCCTGCTTGGTCCCAGGGGCGTATTCTGGAGGCCCTCGAGGTCTTGTCCAGGAGAGCGCGCTCTCCGAGAGCAGCCGTCCCGGCCGCCTCCTCCTGCGTGGCCCTGAGTGGCCCTGCGTGGCCCTGAGTGTCACAAGGAGCCTGACACAGGCGCCCGAGACGTGACGTGCAGCGCGCGCGCGGGAGTGCGCTCCGAGGGTCCGCAGCCCCAGGCTCCCGTCGAAGGAACCATCCTTAGGAGCCGCGGCCCGTCCTGGCGTCTAGGGGGCGTGTGAGCCCTTGCGCGACACGCTGAGCGCTGGCCGAGGCTTTACGCCGCGGGTCTGCGGGCCTGAGCTGTGACCCGAGTCAGAGCTAACACACGTATGAGAAAAGAATGGATGGTTTCATAGGTGTTCTCGCTGGAGATTTTCCAAAACTGGCTGGAGCCCTTGCTGGGCCCTGATATAAAACGCCGTGGACCCTAAAAACCTGGCTGTGGTTCAACTAAACACGCTGGCCACACTTGCAGGCTCGAGCCCACGAGCGAGAAATGCCGCCAGCGGCAGGTGGGCTGCAAACGGCGGAGCCGAGAGGAAGAAATGCCTCGAGGAGCAAGAGGTTTCCAGCGGCTTCCCCAAGGGGGCCGCCTCGCTAACAACACGGCGGTCAGGGTCTGGCCACCGTCTCCGCGGGGGCTGGCGTGGGCGCCTCTGGCTCCCTGGTCGCCCCGGCCTACGCGGCACGGGGCCCGCTCGAGGCTCTCCGTCACCACCTGCGGACGGATTAGTTCCAAGCCCGGATTTCAGCTCCAAGAACGCCGGGAACTGAAGTGTCCGCCGAGGGCTCTCGTCAGCTCCGCAGTGGGAAGCAGCAGGCGCCTGAGAGCATCCGAAAAAGCCCCGGAGGGCGGCTGCGGCGCGCGGGCGCGGGAAGCCGCGCCTGTGCGGGATCCTGCCCTCTGTCCCCGCTGGCCGTCTGCGACAGCCTGGAGGTGCGGTCCGGAATGATGCCGTGACTCTCTTTGGCAGGCGGCTTGCAGCTCTCGAAAAGCGTGTTTTTCAAAATAGTTGTAGAGCAACTAGTAACGGGATTTTGTTTAAAAAAAAAAAGAAAAGAAGAAAAGCGAATGTGGCCCGTACGGGGATCGAACCCGCGACCTTGGCGTTATTAGCACCACGCTCTAACCAACTGAGCTAACCGGCCGGCTGACGTTAGGGTGCCGCCACTGTACCTATGAGGACGCTGGGCCTGCGCGCGGCGCCGAGCCAGCCGCGCCCCTTCAGGCTGATTCGGCGGCGCCAGGTCCCAGCGGGTTTCTGCGGTGCCTGTCGCCGCTCCCTCTGGCCGGAAGAAAAGCCTGAGACCCTGGAGCTTTCCAGGAGAAGGGAGGCGGCTTCTTAGGGCGAGTGGGAGGCTTTCACAGAGAACATACAAATTGCACTTTGGGGCCTTAGCTCGGGAGAAAGGTTTCCCAATATTGCAAATAAATATTTTTTTATCTTCAAGAATCCTCGCAGCTTGGAAACTTCGTGTATCCGGAGCTTTTGGTATGGCTAAATAAAGCTTAGAAAATAACAGAACACCCGAGAAAGGACAAAAGAGCCGCGGGATTCCCCACCGCCCCCTAGTAACCGCCGCTGGGGTCTTGGCATCTTTCCCGCCACTCCCCCCACCCCTACACTGTACAGGTGTGTGTGTGTGTGTGTGTGTGTGTGTGTGTGTGTGTGTGTGTGTGTGTGTACACTTGGGATTCAGTGTAACCTTGCCTAAAAGAATATAATTTTTAATCTTCCTTTTTGTCCTTAATATTCTCTCATAGGCTTATTCCTAAATAATTACAATGTCACTTCAAATGGTTCCTCCGTGTCTCCTCACCCTTTCTTAAGGTCTGGAAAATGTCTTCATTTTGTCTCGCGTTAACTAGCACAGGAATAAAGCAAGAACTAGCTGCTGGGTGGGCGACTGGCGGTGTTCGCTCCAAAGAAATAGGGCCTGTATGTAAATAATAGTATTAATAATGATAAAGGAGAAAAAGTGTTGGGAAGGCAACACTCAAACATGTCCGCTCCCCATCCTGTGTGTCCCGGGCCATGGTCCCTGAGAGGCCTGACCCCACCCCACCCCACCCCGCACCCCGGGGCTGCTGGGACCGACGCTCCAGGGGAGTGGGCGTGTGAAAATGGGCATACCCCTCCCCTGGAGTGTCGGTCCAGAAAACACTGCTCCCAAACCAGGATACCGTCAGGGTTCCCCGTTGCAAGCAGAAAAAGCCGGGGCCAGCTCATCTTTACAGAACAGACTTAGTGGCAAGGATGTTAGTTAGGTAGTGCACCCACCACCAGGAAGGTTGGAGGCCCAGGTTTAGACAACAGGCCACTCAGTCAAGAAGAGTCATCAGGCCTGCCGCGGCCCTGACCCCAGGGAACCAGCCGTGAGTGAAGCAGGCCTAATCCTGCCCCCGTTTCCCAAAGACGGGTGTTGGAGTGAATGGAGGGGCGCAGGTGCAGTGCTGAGTGCATGGGGCGGGCGGGGGGGCGGGGGGGGGCGGGGGAGCGTGCTGCTGGGGTGCTCCGGGACGGTTGGACAGGCTCCTGAGGCTGGGACACTTGACAGTGTTCCCAAGGACAAGGATAGGTAGGTACGTGCAGACCAGAGCAGGCAGCCCTCAGGGCAGAGGGAACAGCCGGGGATGGCAGGCATCTTGCCCATTCGCGTACCCCTGAGTGCGCAGAGCCTAGCAAACTGTCCGGAAAAGGAGTCAGGGAGACAGAGGAGCTCGTTCCAAACTCATCTTACTTCTGAAACGAAGTTATTTCTCTGTTCAAACTCCCCCCTTCTGGCCCCGCCCCGATAGGATTGCCAGAGTTAGCAAATGATTTCATACAAGCATGCCGTATGCAATATTTGGGACATACTTATACTAAACTGGTATTAGTCATTTATCTGAAATTCAACTTTCACTGGAGTCCTGTACTGTATGGCAACCCTACACTCAAAGCAGCAGCCATTCGAAAGCCCCCCCGCCCCCAATCTAGCCCTGGCCGGGTAGCTCAGCTGGTTAGAGCATCATTTCTGTACCCCAAGGTTGCAGGTTGATCCCTGGTCAGGGCACATACAGGAGTCAACAAAAGAATGTATAAAGCAATGCAAAACAGAATGCATAAGTGGAACAAAAATATCGATGTTTCTCTTTCCCTTCCTCCCTCTTTCTCTAAAATCAATCAATAAATTTTAAAAATTTTTCTAAGGAAGACCTCATCCAACCTGCCTTTTCCCCCATTTGCTCTGCCACAGTCCCACCGGCCGCACCTCCCTCCTCCCCGGCCCTTGCTCACCAGCCACGCTGCTGCCGTGGGGCGTCTGTTCTGCCTCCCGGCCCCTCTTCCTTCCCCGGTCACTGCCCAGGCCACCTCCCTCATCCCCCCTAGGTCTTAAAGCGTAAATGTCACGTATTCAGCGACCTTCTCTGACCCTTGTATTTACAATCGCAACCCGGAGAACCCTGCCTTTCCTCCTTCATTTCCTTCAAGGGTTTGCATATTTCTTGAGCTGCAGGGGGGCACTAATCTCTATGTTGCATCACCAGCACCTAGGACAATGACTGCCGCTTGGTAGGTAGCGATCAAAGCTTGCCGAATGGAGCTAAGTTGGCGGATCCTCATTTAGAGATCTAGCCGTAACACACGCCCGCCGTAGACCTCCCTCCACGTTTGCTGAGCGGGGGCGCGCGCCAGGCCCAGGCTGCGGGGCGGCCGCCACCGCGGTCTGAGAGACGCAGTGACTAGCGACGCACGGCAGGGGGCGCCCGAGACCGACGCCGTCCGTTCCGCACCTGGGCTCCCGGCTCCTCCCAGGTGGAGCCGAGGGAGCGCGCGGACTTGCGGGGCTCCGGTGTTCTCCCAGCTCCTCCTCCGACTTCCGCGCCAGTTCTCTTTCAAAACAAACGAGTCCTAATTTTCATTCTTTGAGCTGGGAAAACTCAAACTGACATGAGCAGAGTTAAATGGCACAGTGTTATTATTCGGGTTTTTAAATATCAGAGAGGGGGACTTCTGCGCATGGAGCTACTTTGGATTTTAAATGGTCCGTCTGCTTTAAGCTCAGCTTATAAAATTGATCATTCTGTTTATAGATTGGGGTCTTTGTACGGAAGACAAGACATAGCAGGTGATGACCACGTTTTGTCGAAGGAGGCCGAGTTGACGCATCATCCCGAAGAAGGAAACATTGTCTGCTAAACATAGCCTAATGGAAAATAGGGGAAGGCCGATGCTAGGCTAGGGATGAGCTGTCTGAGGAAGAGTTTTAGAATGAGTCAATACCCTCAAGTGGCTGTACTGAGTGCTCCTGCAGAGGTCGAAAGCTGAGCCCTAAACTGCAAGTCTCTGCTGAGAATGAGCGGGCGAGGGCGAGGGCCGCAGACCCCGCGTGGCAATAGCCGGGGTCTCCCCTTTATCCTGAGTCCGAGACAAACGCGTCGTGCACTCAAACCCACCGCTGTCCATTTGTCAGAGGACCTACAGCATGCCACAAGCACGTGGTAGGTCTTCCACAGTCAGGTGCGGAAAGGACATGTCAATGACAATAATATTAGCAAAAACAACCAGGAAATTGCTATTACAAGCAGAACACCAAACAGGGCAAGGCTCTTTAGAAATGACTTCTGTGTCGTTTAGAAATGGCATTTAGAAATGGTACAACTTCCTGATAAAGATTTACTTTAGAACCAAATGGGGTGGTGATTCCATTTCAGTAGCATCTCTTGAGCAGGGATTATGCATCGGGCTGCTGGCATTCAGGAGGCAAAAATGACCTTCTAAACCAAATTCAATTTGGGCACCAACGTGGGGGAAGAGGGACAAGCGAAAAGACGGAGTGGGCCAAGGGCTAGGGCCTGAATATTTCAGGCGGAGGGAGATTGTATATGCGCTGAGGAATCTGGGTTTATCTAGTGACAGGCACTTGGGGAGACTGGATCGCAGCGGGGCTGGGAGGAGGAGGCTGGGACAAGCAGGAGGTGAGGTGGGTAGAAAAGGGAGGAGGGGTGAGCGGGAAACTGGGGTCTATGGAGGGCGGGGATGGGGAGGAAGGGAGCGTAGGCTGGGCGCACCTGGGTGGTGGTGTTGCCCTTAGCTGAGATGGGGTCCCAGGAAGGTGGATCCAGGTGGAGGGTGGCCAGGCCAGCTTTGGAAGTATAAGGGATCATTTGCAGGGGAGGAGCTTGTGCTGTGCTGAGAGAGGAGGGAGCTTCCATTAGGAAGACAAGAGATGCATCCTGTTCTGGAGGGAGGAAGAGAGGGAGGGCTGGAAATCGTGATGAAATAAAATCTCATGCTCCGATCTTTTCCTGAATGGCTTCTCAATCTTGGTGGATAATATCTAGCATCTAAGCAATGCGGGCAGAAGAGAATTCATATGTAGATCGCTGCGTATATTGATACACTATTTTGGGAGAGTGATTTAATATCACTCCACATTTGAATTGTAGATGCCTTTCAGCCTGTCATTTCCCACAGAGTCACATGTGTGCTCAAAGATCTACACACAGATATTTTCTGAAATATTATTTGTAATAGGAAAAATAGGAAACAAACATTAATAGCGGAGTGGCTAAAAATTAAGAGTATATCCGTACTATGTGATATTATGAAACACTTAAAAAGCATAGGTAGCTCTATATGTGCTCATATTAAAGATGACTAGGATTTATTAAGTGAAAAAAGCAAATTATAGAAAATATCTATAATTTTCAATTAAGGGGGAAATCTGTCCAAATCCATACACAGAAACCCTGAGAAGACACAGTCCATCTGGCGTCCGCAGTTAACTCTGCGGGGGGCGGGGCATGAGAAGCGTGGAAATGCTTTCAAGGGATTATTTCAAATTTCACTTTCATATTTTTCCGCTTTGATTTTTGTACAACAGACGCATTTTACTGCTTTAATTTCAAAGGTTAATAGGAAAGAATCAGGGACACCTGATCTGACAGAGTAGCAAGGATGAAATAAGCAAATAAAAGACAAGGAGCTTGCTAAAATGCTGACCCGACACAGAGACGGTTGTATTTATTGCGTTGTCAGTTTCTCGAGGGCTGAGCCACTGCCTGCCCAGTCATCGTATTTGCTCATAGTTTATTCATATATTAATTTCTTCAGCTTTACAGTGGAATGTAAGTCTCAAGAAGTCAGGGTCCTTGTCCACACTGCTCTCCTTTGTATCCTCAATGCCTGCAACAGTGCCCACAGCTCAATGTTTGTTGAGTTAAAAAGGAAAACTTACAAATAGACCGCTGTGTGCCAGACTAGTTAGTAGGCGCTCAGTTCTAGGATGCGACTGCAACTGACAATTACTTAGTGTGTCCCCATCCCACTTAAAGCTCAAGGCTGTCATCCGCCAAGGAATTAGGTCCCAAACCAGTAAATTCTCCGGAGGACCCGGCAAAGCGATCCTGGCGAACGTCGCCTACGCAGAAAAGCTTTAAAGCGTCGAGAGAGGTTGCTTAGCAACGAGGTCCAAAAGGTGGACAGCAAGGCGCACGCGCCTGGAAAGCCAGCGGCCGCGGGCAGGACGTTTTGCGCAAGCGCGGGAGGAGGCCTCGGGACGCTCTGGGCTTGACGGTTGCTAGGGTGACAGGGATACAACATGGCGGCCCGATCCTAACGGTCTCGGACAGGGGACCACCGCGGAGGTCCTAGTCCGGGGCCCTGCCTTGGGGGAGTGGAAGCCAGGGGCCACCCTTCCTGCCCCTTTCTTCTTCGTCCAGGGTCGGCAAGGGATTGTCGCCGGCTTCCGCATCGAGGATGAAGAGTGAGTGGGGCCGCGGAGGGGCGGGGACGCGAGGCGAGTGGCGGGGGCTGGACCGAGCCGGCGAGCTGGAGACGCAGGACACAGTCAGATCCCCTTTGCTGGGAAAAGAGTAAATGATGTCAGTAAAAGCTGTAACGTGCGATTTGCGTCGTGCCACGACTGTCAGTTGGTAATGGCATGGGGCATAAATTGTGTCACAAAATACTAAAAAATAATTCACCTCATTCACCCTTTACAGGCATTCTTGTTTTCTCCTGTTGGATAGTGTTTTACATGTTTGTCTTTTTCATTAATGCGCCCAAAGCTGTGGTTAGAATACACATTTTACACTTTTGCTTATAGTGGGAACTTATATACACACATTTTTCTTTTACCATGTTCCTTTTTTCCTTTTCAACTATTTATTTTGAAAGTTTTCAGCTCTGCAGAAAAGTTGCAAGAAGAGTTCCCTGAATGTTTATAAACCGTTCACCCAGATGCCCCGCTGTGCCCTGGCATTTTCTAAGTTACGTATTTATTTTTGCTGAACCTTTTGAGAGTTCACCGTAGACATCATGACATTTCACCACCAGTAATTCAGCAAGTGTCTGCGAGGAACAAGGACGTTCTCCTACAGAGTTACAGGACAACTAGCGTGTTGATACAGTATGTGGTCTACATTTCAGATTGTCCCAATTGTCCCGATGATGTCCACTATAGTTGTTTCTATTTTTTTCCAGGGTCCAATCAAAATCACAAATTGCATTTTGTTGTCCTATTTCTTTGGTCTGCTTTAATCTAGCCAGCGCCCTGCCTTTTGTGTCTTTAACGACTTTTTCTTTCTTTTTTAAAACACTATTGATTTTTTTAGGAGAGAGAGAGGAACGTCAGTTTGTCGTTCCACTTACTGATGCGGTCATTGGTGATTCCAGCCTGTGCCCTGATGGGGGCGCACGTTCGTCAGACAGTCACGTCTGTTACTATAGAGCCCAGAAAGAATTTTTAAAAGTATTCGTTGTCATTGCAGTGAGATTTAAACTTTCTGTCCCTCGTTAATATATTTTTATACACTCAAGATTGTAAGGCACCTCAAATAATCTGGTTCCGTTCTGTTTTTCCTAGTGTGCACCACCTTCCGTTTTAATAGCTAGACGCATCAACTAGCAACTTTTTCCTTTTAAATTAAAACAAAATTAAGTGAAAATAACGCTGGCTTTGTGATCAATTCAAACCGAAGGCTTTAAGTTGGTCTCCAGACCCTCCCCTACTCGGCTGGGTCGGCCCGGCTGACATTTTCTTAGACGTGCTTCCAAACATTTTCCATGCCCATTTTCATGGATTTGTTCCCTAAGCAGATGTCCCAGGCTACACGGGATTATGATGTCGTACTGTGACTTGCTGGGGTGATGCTTTTAGGTGGCATGCATAACTAGCAGTGGACTTCCTAGGTTAAAGGGCACAATTTAAATTGGAAATTTCTGTGATTTTAGGAGTAATTTTATCAACCCTTTGGTGCTTGCATGATGTTTGGTAACTTGGGTCGCGGTTGTCCTCGCTCCACCGGTTGAGGAACTGGGCGGGTCCTGAACTTGTTTTAGTTACGTGGTTGGAATTCACCTCTTGTAGAGAGTGGGAATTGGAGGCTGTCCCGACGGCGGCGGAGGGGGCGGGGCCTGTGCTCGCGCTCGGCGACTCACCCTCGCCCGGTCCTTCCCATTCCTCAGCGGCCCGAGCCCGCAGCCGCGGTGCCCGGCACCTGCCTCGATCAAGACCTTTAGGGAAAAAGTCTTTAGAGGCCGTATTTGAATACAAATGTTCTCACTTGGGTGTGACGAGTTTCCCTTTTCACAAAGGGTGAATTTGACCTCCACTTTCACGGTTAAATAAGGCTTAGATTCCACTTAAACAAACGAGCCCCGCCTAATAAAAGTGCAAGGCTCTTAATGAACCCAAATGGCCTCATTTATCTTCCTTTTCTCCTCCGTTTTCACTCAGTCACATAAGCCCTCTATGTCGCGAAGTCTGGGCAGGTGGTAGTTTTGTTTCGGTGACTGTTACTTCTTTTCCTGTTCATCCGGGGCAGGGCTGTTTTTACAGCACAGCTCTGTGCCCTTCGCAGCTTTGTGCGAACCTTCGTGGTTCCCGTCTTTATTTTTTTATTGTATTTTGTCTCCATTACTACTTGGTCTCCTTAAACCCCTGACCGCCCCCCGCCCCCGCCACAATCACCAGACTGTTGTCCGTGTTCATGAGTCCTTTTTCCTTTCTGTTCAGTCCCTCCACTCCCCACCCTCCGCCCCTTAGCTGTCACCTGCCGTCTGGGAGTCTGCACCCATTTTCCTTGTGAGTCGGTTTGTTCATTAGATTCCACATATGAGTGAAACCATGTGGCACTTGTCTTTCTCTGTCTGACTTATTTCACTTCACATAATGTTCTCCAGTCCATCCATGCTGTTGCAAAGGGTAAAATTCTTCTTTTTTATGGCTGAGTAGTATTCCACTGGGTAAAAATCTCCATAGTTGTTTTATCCACGCATCTACTGATGGACACTTGGGCTGCTTTCATATCTTGGTGATTGTATACGATGCTGCTATGAACATTGGGGTGCAGCGGTTCTTTTGAATTGGTGTTTCCGGGTTCTTAGGGTATAATCCCAGCAATGGACCCACTGGATCAAAAGGCGTTTCCGTTTCTAGTTTTTTGAGGAAACCACACTGCCTTCCACAGTGGCTGCCTCGGTCTGCATTCCCAGCAACGGTGCATGAGGGTCCCCTTTCTCCACATCCTCCCAGCAATTGTTTCTTGTCTAACTTTCAAGGCCTGTGAAAATACGCCAGATCCTGTAGGAGAAAAATAGGAAGATACTTTCCTAGGTTTTTTTTCAGGGGGGTTTTCCCTAGTTCCCTCCCCCGCCTCTCATCCTTGTTTCGTAGCCAGACCCTGCGTCTACTGAGGGAGCCCCAGGGGAAGGGACCCCGTCCCCGCCCCCGGCCTCCAGGGCCGCCGGCTGCCTTTGCTGCTGGTTGGCTGTGGCCGCCTGGCGGTGCGCCCCTGTTGGCGCACACTGGGAGTTTGTACTTAACCCGCTTTAAAGTGCACAGTTGGCTGCGGTTGCTTTTTAAAGGCCGTGTGCTTGACTTACTTTATCTGTGATGAAACACACATTGGAATTTGTTGTGTAAATTCCCCTCTTCTCTTCCCAAACCTGAGTTCCTCTGGCCACAGCCTGACCGTCAGTCGCTGGCTGGTGGCCCGGCGGCGAGCTTTGTACGTCCTGGTGTCACTGAACAAAACCGAGGCGTGGCTGCCTGTCACCACAGGGCGCCCAACTGGTGAGGCAGGCGTTGGTGTGAGACGACGCTGCTTCATAAACACATTAGATGTTGTCATGCTCGTTGTGAGTACTTTCTCAGGGCTCACCCCGGATCTCCCTGTCCGTGACCTTACCCCCTTGGCCTTCGGCTCTAAGGCCCCCCTCACCATGGGCTGCTGGAGATAGCAGGGCACTTGCCTGTAGTTTGATTTTTACAACTGACCTTTTACAAGTATTGCCCAATATTTAAGTGTGTTGTGGAGTATGGTTCTAACTTGAATTTTTAAGTGCGAAACCTCCAGGTTTCAACAGCTTTATTGAGGTATAATTTACAGCCAGTAAAACCCACCTGCTGTGAGTGTGCAGTTCGGTGGCTTTGGCAGATGAGGACAGTGGTGCCCTCTGGGAAGTCCCCTGTGCCCTTGGCAGCCAGCCACCCCTGACTCTGCGCCCTGGGGCTCTGTGACGTGTTTTCTCTCGCTGATGTGTTCCCTTTTCTAGAGTTTCATGCGGATGAAGTGTAGCAAAGGTACACGTGATGTATGCAGCCTTCGAATCCGGCTCCTCCCGTATAGCGCGGTGCTTTTGAGGTCACGCTGGCTTTGCCCCCTTCTGTTGCTGAGCGGCGTTCCAGGGTGCGGGTGTGTCATGGTTTGTTTACCCTTCGCGGTCAGTGAGCGTTTGCTATGCCCGGCCCCCTCCAATCCAAAACCACTGACTTGCAGCGAAAATATAATAAAATAAGCCTAGATTATTGGTAATGCTTATGGAAATTATTAGGTGACAGGAAAGGAAAAGAAGAGAACATTTTAGAACAACCAAATTTAAGAGTACTTTTAAAATTATTTTTTAACCCTCCCCCACAGATAAATTTATTGATTTTAGAGAGAGAGAAAGGGAGAGAGAGAAACATCAATGTGAGAAACATTGACCAGTTGCTTCCCATATGTACCCCAATTGGGGATTGAACCAGCAACCTAAGCACATGCCCTTATCAAGAATCAGACCTTTCATGGTGCAGACTGATGCTCCAACTAGCTGAGCCCCCTGGCCAGGGCAAGTTTCAGAGTGGTATGCATTCAGAGCTACTTCTTCTTCTTCTTTTTTTAAAGATTTATTATGTATTTACTTTTAGAGAGAGAGGACGGGAGGAAAAAAAGAGGAAAACATCAGTGTGTGAGATGCATTGCTCATTTCCCTCTCACACACCGCCTACTGGGGACCTGGCCCGCGACCCGGGCCTGTGCCCTGACTGGGAATCGAACCAGGTTCGCAGGCTGGCGCGTGATCCACTGAGCCGCACCAGCCAGGGCTACACTCAGAGCTTCTTATCAATAAAAATCAAGTAGGAAGTTGACTGAAATATGAACTTAGAAAAAATTACACATCATTTCTAAAAATCTTTATTACTTCTAAAACAGTATTAACCTTTTTCCTGCCGGTCTACTCACCTCAGAGTTCACACAAAGTAGAAGAAGGGTGCCCCGCCTGAGAGGGCTGTGGAGCTGGGCAGGGTCCTGAGCCCGCTTGGTGCTGTGGCGGGTTTGGGACCTGGAGCTGATGGGCCTCTGTGGTCCAGGTCTGCCCACTAGGCTCCTGGCCTGCCGGCTCCCACTGAGTTCCCCGCGCCAGGTTCTCTTCGAGGCCTGCCCTCAAGGCTGCCTTCTCCCTCCTAGTCCTCCCGAGCCCCCGGTCCCTGAAGCGCACCCTGTCGCTGTGGCTCCCACCACCTCGCCCCGGGCCAGCAGGCCAGTGGCCACCTGGGCTGGGAAGGCTGCGTCCGCCGCAGGCTGACGCTCTTGCAGCTGCATTTCGCCGCAGCGCCTGGGCTCTCCCGGCTGGCCATCGGCCATCAGCCATCGGCTGGCTGCAGTTTGCAGGTTTCTGTTAGTGCCACACCCGTTTCAAGGTACTCACGTCTGAGTCTGTCAGGGTTTGGTCTGTAAAACAGAAACTGGGTATCTCCAGCAGGAGGAGAGTGACCGTAGTGAACCAGAGGCCTGTGAAACCGCCCCTGTGCAGGCGGCAACAGTGGTAGCGGCACGGCCGGGGCTGCTGCTGTTGGTTTCAGCCAACCAGGAATCGCAAGAGTGGCAGGAAGCTGGCCCGGCCTCCGTGGGACCAGGAGGGTGGCCTTCAGGAGACCACCCCGAGGCTGCTGGGCGGTGTCCCCCAGCCGGACGCCCAGGCCCGTGCCCGGCGCTGCAGCCAGGCGCCCTGCTCCTCCGCTCGCTGGGTCTGTGGGGCCTGCGCCTCATCTCCACCAGGGCCCGGGGGCCTGTTTTCCTGCTCGGGCGGGGGCGGCGTGGAGCGGAGCAGAGGCTCCTGCCAGCACAGAGTGAGGGGAAGACTGAGCCACGGAGCAGAGGAGAAACGGTCCTCAGCAGAGGCTGTGGGGTGTCTCACAGATGGGAGGCTCACTGTCCGGACTGAGCATTTGTGCATGAGATATGTGTATAGATAAAATCTTGTTTTCATGCTTGTTTGTACCTACAGACTATAAAGTGATTAGCAAAATAGGCGAGGGGACGTTTTCTGAAGTTGTGAAGGCGCGGAGCCTGCGGGACGGGAGCTGCTATGCGTGCAAACAGATGAAACAGCACTTCGACAGGTAGGCGGCGCGGTGCGCCCCGCACCGCTGCAGCGGCCCCTGTAACAGCCCGTGGGGCGCTGTGTTCATGCTGTAACCTGCAAGGCACAGCTGACTTCTGGAGGCAGCGAGGGTTAGGGGCTCGTTTTATGTTTCTCGCACTGGGCTTCTTCTGCGTCCCAGTTTACTGTGATATCAATGACTACGGGTCACCAGAAATTTAGATTGTAAACGCATGCCTCACTTTAAACAGTCTCTGTGCTCCTCAGAGTTGTGTGAGTTGGACTTTGTAAGGAGACCTTTGTCCGAGCATACTAGAAGCCCTTGCGATTTAGGGAATTGTGACTCAGTTAATGTACTGAAATTTCCAAATGGTCTGGAGAACCGGGTTCCCGGGCGACAGCGGTGGAGAGGGAGCGCCCCGCTTGGGCTGGCCTCTCGGAGGACGGCTGCGGCCCTGTCCCCGGAGCCACCTCCCCCGGTCCCCGGGTCTGCCTTTTGGCCCGCAGCACACGAAGCGGCCATCGCCGCACAGCTGGCGCATGCGATAAGAGAGCAGGGCTGGAGTGGCTGCTGCCGTCACACTTTTCCATAAAGGGGTTTGAAGTCTCTAAATATCCAAGCACGTTTCTTAAAGGAGTGATCACTCTCCCACATTGACACGGAGCCTTCTGAAGTGTTTTGGGGGTAAACCTTGATATCAGGCTGTTTGTGTGCCAAATGGCCTCTCGGCTCAGAAGGGCGAGTTGGAGGGTTACTGGTGTCCGGGGGTGTGGGGAATAGGGACTTCATCCTCGCGGCGCCCCCTAGGGCTCAGGCGGGCATCCCTGTCTTTGCACAGGAGGACAGGGGCTTAGCGACGTGACGTCATGCAACAGCTGACCCTCCGGGTCGCTAGGTGGGCAGAGTCAGCTCTGAGCCCAGACTTCTCCTCCACTACCCGGGACAAGTGGTTGGTGACCGGCTCTGCCAAGAGCGCAGTCACTGGGCCCCTGCCGTCCTCTGTTCTGTCCCATCTTCCTCAGAGCTGCGTTCTCTGTGGATCCAGCCCTCCACCCCCGGCCTTCACCTGAAAACCCTCGGCCAAGAGGGCGCTGCCCCTGTGCGGACATCAGGGCAGGCCCACAGCGCCTGGGAGAGGCCTTGGAGCAGCATGGGAGGCATTTGTACCTCGGGAGGGGACCTGGTCCCACCACCCAGTCTGGGGCAGATGTGCCTGCAGACACAGGACCCACAAAGGACAAGAGGACCGGACAAGCGGCCCCCAGACCCCAGGCCCTTCAAAGGCTGCTGCTCGGTCCGCTCACTGCTGCGCGGTCCGCTCACTGCTGAGCCAGCGGCAGGGAGCTTGGCTCGGTCATGCACATCCCTTCAGGAAGGCGGAGCTCTCTGCAGCATGGCTTGGAAATGCTTCTGTCAAAGAAGGCCCGCATGCTCTAAGGGGCGCTCCTTTGAGGGGCGGGGGATGCTCCGTTGTCCCGGAGAACTGCCTCGGTGTACCTGGTGTGGTCTCCGTCCCTCAGGAGGATGCAGCGTTACCTGAGGGACGTGGCTTCCCAGTGATGACATGCGTCCTGGGCCCCCCACCCAGCAGGTCCCCAACACCCTGCAAGTGCACCCCTCATGGTAGCTAGGGCAAGGGTTGCAAGGTCTGGGCCATTCTTACCGAATGCTATTTTTGCTAAATGTTAAAATAGCGTGCAGTATTTTGTAGATCAGCTATAAACAGGATGAACTTAACAGGAATTCAGCCAGGATAAGCACAGCCATGCAGCCCAGCAGCCAAGCAGCCAACTGCAAAGAAATCAACGCGCAGCTGACCAGAGTGTACTGGGGGCCAGAGCTCGGGGTAGGAACCCTCCGTCTCCCTTGCCTACTGCAAGTAAATAAAACGGCTTTACGATGATGATGTCTGGTTCTTGGACAGAGCACCCCACGTGGCAAGCCCCCGAGCCTTGGCTTCCTCGTCGCGAGGCACTGGAGGACCAAACAAGGGAAGGGCGTGGACGCAGCAAGCCCAGTGGGCCAGGTGGCAGCCTCGTGCTATGTGGTGGCCATTTGATGCCATTCAGAACAATTCACACTCTTTGCCTTCACTTTAGAAGATGTTTTTCTTTTAAAAACCCACGATAAGTCAAGATTTTAGTAAGTGACACTGACTCTGTGTTCCTTTTTCCTCAAAGCGTGCGCACGTGGGAGGTGTCTGTGGTGTGAATCACGCCTGCACACCTTGCTCTCCTTGGAAGGGCGAGCCCTGGCCCGGCGAGTGGTGTCCTGTGGCGGAGATGCCGCCAGCGGTCAGCCTGAGCTCAGTGTGCGCGGACGGGTGTCTGCGCCGTGTGATGCGAACCCGGGGGTTGGTTTATTCTTGTCAGCCCTTATTTGCTGTTGGTACATACGCTCAAAGCTGGGGGAGGTGAGAAGCCAGCACTGCCATTGTGTATTCAGTAGTGGCCCAGGTCTGGCCACGGGAGCCCTTGCAGGCTGGCTCTGTTCCTTCCAACACGTCCCATCCTTTTTTTGGTAAACACGTCTTTCCTCCCTGTCACCACAAGATGCTCTAGGCTTGTCTTGTATGGAATTTTCCCTGCCCCTCGACTCTTCCATTTCCTAAGGAGTCCTGGCTCCTTTCACCTGAGAAAGATTATTTGGAAACCAAGACTTTGGCATCAGGCGCGCTCGCTGCTGCTGGAGGGTGGTCACCTGTGGCCAGAGCAGGGCGGGGGTGCGCTGGCCCACGCCCCCCGCCGTCCCTCTCCACTTAGCTACCCGCCGCTCAGCTGTGTGAATAGCCACGCGTGCAACCCGGCATAAAGAAATGACCGAGGGACCAATCAGTTGGGGTGAGGGGACAGTTGTTCCTTGTAGGAGAATTCCAGTTAATAAGTACAGCGGGAATGAGGGAAGGAGAAAATCCTCGTGAGACGCACAGTTGTAATTTCTGCAGACAAGATAAACCAATGCTGCCGAGGTCGTAGGTGAAACCTGAAGGAGAACGGGGTTTCTGCAGAGCCTGCGATGCCGCCACCCCCACCTCCCGCAGTTTATAATTACTGTGTGGCTTTAACTTGTGCGCACAAATCATTTGATATCCCTCCCTCTAGGAGGTGGGGCTTAATCCCCTTGCCTTTGAATGTGGGCTGGGCTTAGTGACTTGTGTCTAAAGAACAGAAAATGAAAAGGGAAAGATAGTAACTGTTCACTGAGAAGCCTGGATGACGACCTTCACTAACTGATTAAAATGACACCGTCAGCAGGAAGACATGGTGATGTCGTGCGCCCTCTGACATGCTGGGATGGGAAGGGCATATCGCCCGCACGGTAGCCCTTCCCAAAGACCCATAAGCTCAGTTGAATGACAAGAATACATCGGACGAAGTCAGCGCAGGGGACCCCGCCAAACGCCTGCCCGGTGCGCCTCACGCCCGTCCAGGAAACGCAGGACAGGGGCCCGCAGAGCTGTCCCAGAGTGGGGGCGCCTGCGGGGAGCCCCTAATTGCAGTCCCTTGGCCCTGGAAAAGGACAGTAGTGGAAAAAGTGGGAGATCCAAGTGTCTAGCTTAGTTGGTAGAGTCGCACCAACGTTAACCGAGGTTTGAGAAGTGCCATGTGAGGTGGGAGGGTCGGGGGTGTAGGTGACAGGGACTGTCTGTCCTGTCCTTGCGGCTCTTCTGTTCATCTGCAATAGTTCAAACTGAAACATAAAGAACAGTCCCAGGAAACAAACAAAACCAACCATAGGAGATCTGAATGACTCACATTGCTCGCAAGCTTTTCCCATTGATACAGGTATTGCTGTTATTTCTGAATTCTAGGGAGAAATGACTTTTTAGTTTCTTCTAGAAAGATAACTGCTTTGGTGTCATTTCTAGGAATGAGGTAGCGCATGACTTTTGGGTGTTCCGGTGTCGCGATCCTTGACCCACAAACTCCGTGCTGCTCTTTGGTTCTGGGTTTGGTTTTCAGCCCTGGAGAGACCGCGTGTAGCTCCTAGGGTTCTGGAGTGTCTGGCATCGCTATTAAACAGGCCACGCTCGTCCCCCTGAGGACTGTTTCGGGTTCCTGTAAAACCCCACTTCTGCGGTCCCTGCCGCGGGGTGTGGGCGGGGTGGGAAACGAGAAACGAGAGGCCGCGGCGGCGGGGGCCCTCGGGGCAGAGGCCTCGCCGCGCCCTTCCAGGGCCGGGAGCCGCGGGCGGGAGGGGGAAGGCCCGTCGCCGCGCTGCCCCCCGCCCCGGCCGGTGGCGCCAGGGCAGGCCCGGCGCTTGTCGGTGATTCCTTCCTCTCCTCTTGTGAAACGTGCGGGAGTACTTCTCTCCTCAGTGTCCGAAAAGGCTCACCAGGGAAATCGCCCGGGACTGGGAGTCGTCGCTGTGCGAGGCCCCGCCCCGCCGCGAGGGCCGCGCTGCAGAGGCGCAGCCGCAGCCGCAGCCTCCGGGCCGCCGAGCCGGCGGTTCCAGCAGCGCCCCGTCCGTGCGGGCGGCGCCGCGCAGGGCCGGCCTCGGAGCGCGTCTGGGAGCGCCCGCGGGGAACCGCTGCCGCGGCTGCGAGGCAGAAACGCTCCACCCCTAGGAGCCCCTCGCGGGCGTCGCGGGACTGGACGGACGCGTGGATGCTTCCGGAAAACCGCGCCGCCGCGGGCCCCTCGGCGCAGAGCGGGAGCCGCCGTCCACTGTGAGAGCCCGCGCCGGTGCAGGGACGCTCTGCCTGTGGGAGAGCAGGGGACTTAAAACCACCAGTGTTTCCTTCGCACGTGGGATTTCAGTAGATGCGGGGCTTCCACGCAGACCGCCCCTCAGGACCCCGAGAGACCTGCGCACTGTGTGGCTCCAGGGGCCGCAGCCACCGAGAACAGAGTCGCGCCCAGCGCGGAGCCCGAAGGGCGGGCGGCCCGCACGGACCCTGCAGGCTGGAGGGGGCGGAGGAGCAACGGGCTCCACGTAAACCACGTGCTGCGACCGAAGCGCCGGCGAGGGAGCGTGAGGACGCGGCGGCGGCCGCGGCGCTGGCGGGGCGACCGGAAGTCGCCCGTGCAGCGCCCCGTCCCCCGGCTCTCAACCAGCTGGTGTTGTTTATTTGCTCTTTTAAAAATACAGCTGTATTTTATTTTTTAAAAAGATTTTATTTATTTTTTAGAGAGAGGGGAAGTAAGGGAGAGAGGGAGAAAAACATCCACTGGCCGCCTCCCACACGCCCGCGCGGGGCCCGGCCCGCAGCCCAGGCCTTCGCCCCGACCGGGAACCCAGCGGCGACCCGTGGGTTCGCCGGCCGGCGCTCAGCCCACTGAGCCACACCAGCTGGGGCTACAACTGTATTTTAGGTAGAATTTTTTTTAATAACTGAAGAAAGGGTATGTGACCTGATCAAAACAAAGAGGACCAGGGTTTCCAAATAGGAGAGAACATCCACATTTTTTTAAAAAAAGACTCAAATGCCAAATAATTTGGATTTTCAAAAGATTTTTGTAAAGCTTTCTTGAGACATAATTTACATATCAGAACTCCCACCCACTGTGAGCGAGGTTTAGGGAATTTACACAGCTGGGCAGCTGCCCCTCAGTCCCACCTGGCAGACCCCCCCCAACCCCGTTCGCAGAGAGAGCGCCCCCTGTCCTGGGTGGTCAGCAGCTGCCGTCCCGAGCCTTTGGGGTGCTGCCCGCCTGTGCCTGGCCCCTTGCCCAGCACCCCCCAGACCTCCTCTCCCCTCCCCAGCAACGAGAGGTCCCTCCTTTCGGACCCTGGCCCCGCACTGTGGGCCGTCGTTTCTGGCTGTTGGTTGACCACGCACACGAGTGGCTGACATTTCGAACATCACCCTGAGTGTGCGGGGGGAGTGCGGCCGTGATGAAAGAAGGCTCTGAAACGGGGTGTCTGCCTGCCGCCCGCGGGCTGCCCGCGACCCAGGGGGCTGTGATGTGGCCCAACGCAAAGTCTCCTGAAAACATGAAGTGATGTGTTTGGGATTCCGTGTTGCACTGCATCTAACGTGTGGCCCAAAACAACACCTTTTCTTCCAGTGTGGCCCAGAGATGCCAAAATATTCTAGTCTGAAATAGCCTAACCCTCAGACTTCTCGGGCTCTTCCTACCTACCGGGCTTCCATTTGCGGGCTAGACTAGAGATCCTCAGATATCCAGCCGCGCGGACTGAGAACGGCGCTACACTGTCGGAGAAATAACGGCACGAAAGGCCGAGCTGCGCACCGTGTGGTAGAAGCTAGTGGGGCGGACTTCCACCCATTCAGAGAAAGGCTATTCCCACAGCCGCTTCCTTACAGAACCTCTGGGATGAAAAGAGGTGACGGAGCAGTCACGTGATTAGGTGTCAGCCCAGGTGCTGAGAGAACACCTGTCACCAGGTGAAGGATGTTGAAAAGATGCTCAGCCTTCAGAAGTGAGAGGAAGGGTGGGTCTGTGTGAAAATTTAAGGCACTTATTTTCGCATGGTATTTACATTGTTCAGATGGTTCCCATAAATTGATTAATAGAAAATGTTATTATCTGTCTATATTTATTAATAATAAAAGAAACTACCAAGGTATTCTTTCAGGAGCTTAGATGGGAAAAATTTCAATATATGTCCCAAACTGAGAACCTTGACTTTTGTAAGATAATGCAGAAGTGCGATATGCTTAATTTTAACTGCTAAGGGGAGAAATAAAACTTCACTTGCTTGAAGGATTTGTGAGTTTCCAGCGGTGACCCTGGGTAGTTAACAGTGCCGTGCCAGCCCGGGCCCTAGCGCTGAGCTGCGTGGTAAGCAGCGACTTCTGTCCACCCGCACAACAGCATGGAGCAGGTGAACAGCCTCCCGGAGATACAAGCCCTGCGGCGCCTGAACCCGCACCCCAACATCCTCACGCTGCACGAAGTGGTCTTGTAAGTATACCTGGGCCTCGGAAAACTATCTGAATTTGATGATAACGATTAAGCCTCTTTTTAAGAAAGAAAAAAAATCATGGGAGGCGTTTCAGAAGTTCGCTTTGTTGCTCGGTGAGTCACAAACTTCGTCTCAAGTCACGTGTTTGTTTGGGGGGCCGTGTGCCTGGCCCCTGAGGCAGCGCCTTTGTTTAGGCAGCACTAGAGCGGCACAAGTCGCAGGCTCCTGGGGGCTGGTGGTGGCTCTGGCACCTGAGGCCCCTGGTGCAAACCGCGACCCCCAGGAAGGCTCTGTGGTCGCGCCTGGGGGATGGCTCTCCCCTCCCTGCCGCTCTCCTCTCCGTGGTCCCCCGTGGCCTCTTCCACCGACTGTACGGTTTCAGGAGTTTGTCATTTCTGGTCTCAACTGTAGAGCGGCTCCCATAAGGCTAACCCACAGGCCAGGAGGGCAGGGCGCAGCTGGTGCACAGGGGCTGGTGACTGGGCCCTGCTCCCCAGACCCGGCCCTGGCTCGGCCCGGCTTCCGGGGCCCGCCTTCCCCTGGGCCAGCGCAGTGCAGACCCCGAGCAGGCGGCCTGGCCTCTGTGGCCCACCAAACGCAGCCTCTGACAGCTAACACGGCAGGTGTCGCCGGAGGCTCCCCCGGCTTTAAACACTGTGAGTGCTCTCGCAGCCATGCAGCCTCCTGGCCTACAGTGTCCGGAGCCATCAGTTTAGGCCAGGTCCGGAGGCTGCAGCCTGCGGGCGTCAGTCACAACCCGGCCCGCGCAGGCGGCGCTTCCGTCCGGAGCTGCACGCGGGGGCTCCAGCCTGACCGGGGCGCCCTGAGCCATCGGGGGTGGGGGCCACAGGCTGCCCGGCCTGGGGCCAGTGAGCCCTTCGGGGGCTGTTTGAGCTCAGGAGAGGCTGGTGGCTGGGCCAGAGGCCTCAGTCCCCACTCCGTCACCCTCAAGGGTGATGTGTCCCAATCACAAGGACAAGATTTGGGTAAATTCAAAGCGAGGCTGCGGTCACAGGGTGTGAGTTAAACCCCCCTCTCCAGGTGGTTCTGCTTGGCCACGACCCCCTCTGCTCCCCTCTCTGCCCAGAGTTAGGCTTCTGTGGTCCAGACGCAGGGCTTTGAAAGCAGCTGGGGCAGAGGAGGGTTAGTGTTGGCTTGTAGTAGGGTTTTACTACGATTTTGAAGTTTTAGCTGAAATATTTATTTAAAGTGAAAACTTCTTCTGTTTCAGTCATTACCTTTTAGACTTTGTCTGATGTGGGAGGGCTTTATTTTTACCAGAAATGTTTACAGATGAATTAAATAATTGATTATATTTTCTGATTAAGACACGAAAGAACACTTAAAAACCTTTCTTCCTCAGCGACAGAAAATCTGGTTCTCTTGCGCTAATATGTGAGCTTATGGACATGAATGTTCATGAACTGATACGAGGTACGTGACTCACTTGAAAGCCGACCTAAGAACTCACCTTAAAGCGTGCAGTTCGCCTGGGCCTTGTCCTGGTTCTCAGGACGCTTCGTGGCCGTAGTGCGGTGGCTACTGGTAGACAGATGTGCAGGGCTGCCTGCTGCGCCCGGGGAGGGCTGGGCCTGGCCATCCCGACCCCTCCGACCTCGGCCACCTGGCCCGCAGGCTGGGCGGGGACGGCGCCCAGGACACATCAGGCCGGTCAGGCCTTCCTCACTGTGGGTCCCACTGCGAGGGGCACTCTTCTCCTGGGCTCTACCACTGGTGGACAGGCGATTCCAGGCCTCGGCACGAGGCAGGGCGCCCCCAGAGCCCCTCGGTGTGGGGACAGCTCCCGGCGGGTGGACAGGCGGCTGACGCACCGGCAGTCCTCTCGGCAGCGGGGCCCGGGCTGCGCGCTGGGCGTTGGGGGCTCACAGAGGCCTCCTGGGGGAGGAGGAGTGGCAGGGGCCTGGCCCCCGGTTCACCAGCGGCCCTGCGGGTGTGACCCATGGACGTGTTAGGCGTCAGCACCAGCGAGCCCCGTGAACGCCCCTGAGAAAGCACAGGAAGAGCTGTGGTTCACAGAGCACGTCGGCAGGACCGGTGAGAAGAACCGCCTCCCGACGCCATGAGCGTAGCCGCTTAGGGCTCGGGATGAATTTCTGTGGCGGCGTCACAGCTGACTGCTGTGTTAGCGCTAACAGTTGGGGCCAAGCCGAGAGGACGTGCTGCGGACAAGCTCCCGATCCACACGCTGCTCCTGCGACGCAGACGCTGGTGCTGAGCGTGCCCGTGAGGGGGGCACGCGGTGGTTTATGAAGCGGGGGCGGTGGGAAAAGGTGTTCTAGCAAGTTCATGTATTTTACATGGGATTGAAATCACATGCGTTTGAGTACATTAAGATGTCAGGAACCTGCATCCTGATTTCAGAGTTGAGAAACAGAACAAAAACTGAACAACGGCTCATTCCTGGTACCTGCAACGGACGCGATGGGGACCGACCAACACAGTCCCCACCCCCCGGAGCTCACAGGTGGATGCGGGGAGAGAGCCGGCAAGAACAAGTAAAGAAAGGATCCGGAACTCTGGGCAGGGCTAAGTGATCTGGGAAGGCAACAGGCGCTGCGTTCAAGAGCCGAGGGGATGGGCCCTGGGGGGCAGCGCAGCCGGGGGAGCCCGTCCCTGCGCGGCCTCGTCCCGGTCGGGGCCCACCACAGCACCGACCCATGACCAGCGAGGGCACGGGCGGGTGGAGCAGCACATGGACGTTTCTCACTCCCTCCCGCGCTCTCTCTAAATACATAAATAACACTTCTAAAAAAAGTGCGATGGGGACAGAGTATTCCAGGCACAGGGACAGCTAGTGCAAAAGCCACATAGCTGCGGCAGAGGGGGAGCGTTAGAGGGGCCAAGGGAGGCGGACCACCTGCTCCTCAGACCGGTAAGAGCCCGGGTTGCCAGGTTCACAGGAAGCCGTGGGCGGTGCTTAAAGCAGGGGAGAGATGTGTTTTGATTGGGGTTTAGATCGATGTTTCTAAAACTCTCGTAGAAGACCAGTTTGTTTTTTTCTAACCTGCTGTGGACAAAACATTTGTAAAATGCAATACAAATTAATCACCAGGAAGAGGACCATCTGCTCGGCTGTCACAGCGATGCTGAATTGCTGTCAAAGCCGCCAAGCAGTCACCATCAACTTCTGTCATCTCCTCTTAGACTGACAGTCCCTGGACCGGCCTCGTCGGTGGGCTGCGCTCTGGCTGCAGTTAAAGGAAAGTCCGGATGTGGACGCGTGGGTCGTCCCTCTTAGCTGCAGGCACAGCGTCCATTCCCACTAGTTTAACCAAAAGGCTCCCATCACGTGGGACAGAGCAGACAGAGGGATGGGGAGGGCTGCAGAGAGAGATGCCAGGCCTGGCCCCGGGGAACAGCTTCCAAACATGGTGCCAGGGGGTCAGGGAGGCCGCGGCCATCAGCCTGGCACCACGCCACCCCTGCCAGGGTCGGGAGCGGCCGCCGCCACGCTCGGCCCCTCAGGTGCTTGCCTCCCCCAACCTCGGCCCCTCCCTCGGGCCGGAGGCCCTTCACGCAGTGGCCCCGCAGCAGAGCCTGAAGTGCGCCTGGAGCCCTGGCCTGCGGAGGGTGTGCGGCCTTCCCGCCCGGCCCGCTGGGCGGTGGTGGGAGGGGCCTGGGGCGGGCCGGGGCGGGGAAGAGGGGGCCTCGGCCCACTCACCTCGCTGGGGGAGACCTTCCAGAGTCAGCGACGGGGTGAGTGGAGAGTCGGCTGGGCCGTCAGTGACCCGGTCTCTGCCTCCGGGCGCCTTGGGCTGATGGCTCAGGGCTCCGCCCCCTGTGTCAGGGGAGGCTGTTCTGGAGCAGCTGGGGGCGAGGGGCATGATTCTCACCTGCTCACGGAGGCGCCGGCACTTTGGCCCCATCACACCTGACCTGTGCTCGCGTGTGACTGTCGGTGAGGTGGGACCGGGTGTGCCACTTTGTCTCCGGCACCTGCCGGAGGCCTGCTTCCTTCCTGTTGCCGGGCTGTTGGCGCTGGAGCGCCGGCTCTCTGGCGGTGGGGTCCTGGCAGCTCCATCCCTGGTCTCCTCTTGGTGCCCAACACTGTCCCCTGTGTGGCACAGGGGTCCCTCATCCACCTGGATGTTTTTGGATGTTGAGCGTCATAGTCAGGCTGTTCTCACCACCGGAAGTCACTCTGTTCAGCTGGTTCACTGCGGAGGAAGAAGTTGATGGTAACATGCGTGTCTGCTGCAGGAGGCCCAGCCAGGCCTCCAGGAGTGGGACCGAGAAAGCCCTGGCCGCCGAGGCCGCCCGACCACCCCTGGGCCCCACAGTCTGCCTCAGCATCTCCGCCTGACCCCTCCGCCCCCCTTGGAAGGTGTGGCCCCCCGGCCCTGCGACCCTCCACGGGCAGCAGGCGGGCCTGGCCCAGAAGTCCCAGCCACCAGCCACCTTCCAGAGCGGGGGCTGTTCTGGTCCTGGGGGCTGGCCCTGCCCCCTTAGGGTCATAGCTTTTAGAGGCTGTGGGTCGGGCAGGCCTCCTGAAAGAAATCCACGAGACTGGGGAACGAACCAAGTAGGAGAAGGGAAAGCCAGCTCTGTGCCACCGTCACCGTGGCGTTTCAGTGTGTTTCCACAGGCAGCTGAGCGCTGCTTGCCGCACACCGTGCTCACGGCCCGGCCCGCCCTCACCGTGTCAGGCTGACGCAGCGGCCTGTTTCCAAGTCCCCACACCTGGCGTCATGCACCAGCGGCACGATGGAGCACCTTTGGTAACGTGCCAAGGAGAAGGAGAAGACGCGGTGCCAGCGGAGCCCTGACAGCGCCCCCATCGCTTGGCAACTGGGGCTCCGCGCTGGCTGCGAGGGCGCTCTGGCTCTACATCGGCAGTGCCCCCACGTCGCTTCTGGGCGCACATAAGAAGGAAGGCCGAAGTGAGACAAGTCTGTGACAGCAGTCCTCACACTTCCCCTCACACGTGGCACAGTGATGTCCTGCTTTCCTTCCACGCCTGCCTGGGCCGTTAAAAGTGTGAGCGAAGTCACGTTTTTGTCCCTGGATTCTCTTCCAAGCCAGCGACACTGTCCTGGTGGTGTTCAGGCTGGTGCTGCCGGGAGGTGCCGTCGGATCTGGCTCTGGGGACGCAGCACGGACGTCCCCACTGTGGGACAGCATGCTGGTGAGAGCCCGCACCGTGGGCTTGCCGGCGGCGGTCCCTGCGGCCCTTCACAGCGGGGGCGACGGAGCGTCTGACTGTTGGGGTTGGCGGCGGCCGGGGGCGCGGTGTTGCTCAGCACAGCAGAACAGGGAAGCGCCCGGAGCGGCCGGTGCCTGGCTCGCAGCTGCCAGCACCCGTTGGTGGCTGTCCTCGTCGCTGGGTGACAGCGCGCACGGGGCGCCACTCCACTGCAGAGGCGAGGAAATTGAACTTCAGAGGAGTTGGAGCACTTGTGTAGGAGGCGCCGGCTTCAGAGAGCAGAACAGGGAGCCGGGGGGCCACCCCTGAAGGTGTCGGTGGCCCTGGCTCAGGCCCCACGCCGAGCCTGACCCCTCACCCGCACACCCGGCGGGTCAGCGCCCCAGCCCCTGCTCCGAGCGGTGTGTGCGGAGAACACCGGGGGCGAGCAGGCGCAGGTGCAGGCGCGGCGCCGTGGGGCGCCAGGTGGCCCGCCTGCACCTTGAAACCTGACCACCGGGCACAGGCCTGTGGACGGTGGTCTCTGGTGGGAAGGGGTGTGTGTGGTGACTCTACACGGCAGGCTACGGCTGGCAGCCGCAGTCCCTCAGTGGGGACAGACAGCAAAGGCCACAGGCTGCATCGTGTTCACCTAAAATTTGCCACATTACTGCTGTTGCGCATGTCAGTCTTTAGACTCTTCTGGATGAGAATGTTTGATACAAACTGACTTGTTAACAGCAGCTGAAACAGGGTGCCTGTCTGCCCAGCAGCTTTGCTCCATCAGACGGGGACTCTCCTGGAGCGGGGGTGTGGGTGCTGCAAAGGGGCTGGGGTGCCCTGGGGGAGAGGGAGGGGCCGAGGAGGGAGCAGGCCCCTCCGCTGGGGACTGAAGGCAGCGGGGCGGCGGAGGGCCAACAGTGCCGATGGGGCGTGCTCGTGGAGTTCTGAGTGAGCAGGTGAGAAGGGTTACTGTACAGACTTAACACTTAATAGCGTGAAACATATGCCTTTGCCATTAAAGTCAAGTGAACGTGACGTGCTCTGGAACGAGGATAAGGATGGTGCTGGAGCCCAGCAAGGGCCCAGCGCATCCCACAAGCCTGCGGGGAGGGGCGCGGGGCGCAGGCGCCCAGCGAGCTTGGGCCCTGCTCAGCCCCTGCTCAGCCCCGGCTCAGCCCAGCAGGGGCCGGGCCGGGGAGCCCCTCGGAGCTGTGGGCCCAGAGGGGGAGGGCCGCCATCCGTCTTGGTGGACTGAACAAGGCGCTGTGGACAGACGGTGGTCCGTCCCCGTTAAATTGGACTGTCCACCCAGACCGCAGCCCAGGAAAACTCTGGGTTAACTGGTGACTCCCGATGTTCCCTGGTCAGCAGTTTGAAGGACGGAGTCCTGGCAGGCAGGCGCGTCAGACCGGGCGCTCCGGGGGGCGTGGCCCACACTGTTCCCACAGTGAAGAGCGCAGGGGCACTGCCCGCGGGGAAGCCACGCCAGGAGGGAGAAGTTAAATGGCTTATTTTGTAGGCATACTCCCTGTCTCCTATAAAACTACTTCACGTGATTTCTCACAGAGGAAGTTAGATTTTTACGCGTTATTAAATAAGGATGAATTCTGTTTTTTATTTCTAAAAAGGGCGTAAGTCCCATTGGTAACAGTGTTGGGCCATTTCCTTGATTGCACAGGGAGAAGACATCCATTTTCAGAAAAAAAAATCACGTCCTACATGTACCAGCTCTGCAGGTCCCTGGACCACATGCACAGGTGCGTCCCGGCGGCGCGGGCCTGGCGGGTGCCGGGGTTGCTGTCATGGAAACACGACGTAAGGGAGTCCAGTAAACGTACAATTAATTCTATCCTTCCTTCCTTTTATATTGAATGCAGAAATGGAATATTTCACAGAGATGTAAAACCAGAGAATATATTAATAAAGGTAAGGGCTTTTATGTCAAAAATGGTATCAGAATAAAGGTAGAATATACGAAGTTTTTACTGGGTGTGCGTTCAGCCCCAGATAACTGGATACCGGGCCTGCTCTAGGTGTTTTTTTCTCCCAGTTTGGAAAGATGGTTTATCTAATAAATGTCATCAATATGGCCATACATCTGGAAGAAAATAGTCTTAGGCCCCTGCCTCAGATTATATACAAAAAACAAACTGCATTCGAATGATCATCCTAAACGCTCTAAACGTAACGGCGGGAGAACCGGGATCTGAGCTCTGGTCCGTGTCTCCTGAAGCCACTTAGACTCGGCACATGCAAAGTGAGCCGCTGGGCGGGTTTGGCCTGTGTCCACCCACGAAGCCGTCAGCACAGTCCATCACCCCGCACGTGTCCCCTGCCCCATCCCTTGCCCCAGGCACAGAGTGGCTTTCTGTTTTCATAGAATTAGTTTTCATTTTCTAGAATGTTCTATGGGTGGAAGTAGCCAGAATGTAGGCCTTTTTGGCCTGGCTTCTTTCCTCAGCGTCACTATTTTGGGGTCCGTCCATGTCATCGTACATGTGCCGCACGCCCTGAAACTGCCCTGCGGTTCCTGAACATTCTCTTCTGCTTTTGCTGGTCCTTCTCCTCTTTGCTTTTCAGCTTGGGGAGTTGCCATTGCCTGGCTCCCCAATTCTTTCCTTGGCTGTGTTTAGTCTGCCCAGCAAAGTCATTTTTTGTTTTTGTTAATAAAATAAGATTCTAGCGTTTCCTTCTGATTCTGTCTGAGCGCTTCCATTTCTCTGCCGACAGTTCCCACGTGAACTTGCATGTTGTCTACTTTTCCCGTGAGAGCCCTTCACAGATGAACCCTCATTATTTTAAATTCCCGGGTCCTGGGCTCGCTTTGTCTCTGCAGGCTGTGTTTTCCTCGCCTTGTAACGTGCCTCATGCTGCTTCTCGCAAGCCTGGGGGCGCACTGGGGAGCAGGTGCCGCGGCAGAGGCCGGCGGGCCCTCTGGGTCACCTGGCTCGGAGGGACACCGAGTTACACGTTTGTTGCAGGCGTGTGTTAGAGACTCCAAAGTCACTAGCAGCTTATATTTTATTGCCTGAATGTGAGGGGTACAGAAAATGGAAGGAATATCCCGCAACCCGTCCCCCTGGTGTGTCTGAGCTGCTCCAATGAACCTGGGGCAGGGGGGGAAGGGGTGGGCGAACCAGCCCGAGCCGCCCCGGGGGCAGGTGACACGAGCTAACGACCTTGCGGCCTCACATCGCGATTGGATGCTTTCCAGCATCTGTAGACGTTTGGGCAGCTGCGTAAAGCAAAGCCAGAATGTCTGTCAACATGTCCGCTGGACAGAAGCACCACCTCCTTACCTGTTAGGGGCCCCGCCAGGCGCTCCTGCGGAGAGCGCCAGGCTGCCCTAGTGATTCCCCGCCGGGCGCGGTGACTTGCGGCGGCTCGTGTGCCAACAGCTCCGCAGCGGGCGGCGCTGTCCCTGCCTTCTCCCCCCGCAGCAGGAGGTCCTGAAGCTTGGGGACTTCGGGTCCTGCCGGAGCGTCTACTCCAAGCCGCCGTACACGGAGTACATCTCCACTCGCTGGTACCGGGCCCCCGAGTGCCTGCTCACCGACGGCTTCTACAGCTACAAGATGGACCTGTGGAGCGCCGGCTGCGTCTTCTACGAGATCGCCAGGTAGGGCTGCCTTGCCGGCGCCGAGGCTGCGCCGGGCGCTTCCCTGACAGCACAGGGTCACAGCCGTCCAGGGGCTGTGCCTGCGGGTCACTGAACAGAGGATGCACTTTCCGTCGGCACATTTCCTTGCTCGCTGGTGACGGAGAACAGAGCACCATCGGCCCCTCCTTCCACCGGCACCCCAGGCCCAGCCTCTGCCTTCGGCTTCATCGGCGACAGGACCGATGACCAAGTTAGGAACTGGACAGAACCGAGCTCATGGCTACCTGCAGGGCCTGCCCTGGGGTGTGAGCGCTGGCCCCGCCCCCGCCCTCGCCCCGGGAGGTGCAGGTGTGTCGGGCAGGATCCCCCGGCCACTGGGCACGGCCCAGGCCAGAGTGTCCTCCTGGCCCCACCCCCGCAGGAAGGGAGGAGGTGGGTGGGGCAGGCTGATGCAGCCTGAGCCGGGGTCCTTAGCGGCTCATGGGACAGAGAAGGGGCGCGTTGTTAGGGACAGGGGACGCGTTCACTATCTAGGGGTGAAGGTCATGTCTGGGTGACATGCATTAGGACTGAACAGCCCAGCACAGGCAGGGACCCAGGTCCCCGCCCGCCTACTCAGCTGACGGCCTGATAAATCCAGATGTGTGCGTACACTTCTGATTCTAGATCATTCATATCGATAATTGACTGTTATTTTTGGAAAGCAGAGTCGCAATTTCACTGAAGCTGAAAGTGCCAACAGGCCGCCGTCCTCTCTCGTGCTCCAAGACCGTGAATGACTTTGGGGTGTCACAGGACTGCGGAGTTAAGAGCCGCCCGGGGGGAGGGGGCTGTCCTAACCACAGCCTTGCCCCGTTCCTCCAGCCTGCAGCCCCTCTTCCCTGGAGCCAATGAGCTGGACCAGATCTCAAAAATCCATGATGTCATGGGCACCCCTGCTGCGAGGACCCTCACCAAGTTCAAACAGTAGGTGCCCTGTGCTCCCGAGGGTCCCCCGTGGCGGCAGGGGGCCACCGGCGGGGCCCCTCTGTCCCCCGGGGTCCCCGCTGCCGCTGAAGGGGCTGTGCATCCCTCAGGGCCCCAGGGCACGGAGGGGCGCTCTCCCGCGAGCATCAGAGGGGAGACCTTGCTGCTGCTGCGGCCAGCGGCTGGGCCGCCGCCCAGACAGGGGCCCTGCGCCGGGGCCTTCGGGGGTGGAGGCCCCCGGCCCGGGCCGTGGCAGGGGCTGTGAGTGGCTGCCCCACGCTGCCCGCACACTGACTGCGGCTGGGCTGCTGGGTGCTGTGCTAGCCGAGAGGAAGCTGAGCCGGTGAGGGGTCTCCCTGGGGGCCCCGTGTGCTGAGGGGGCGGCACCCAGCAGCCCCGAGACCGAAGAAGACAAGGAGGCAGCAGCTGCTTTGGAGATGCCATTCCACCTGTCTCGGGTGGAAACGCGGCATTCGCCCCTCTGGGAAGGAGCCGTTTCCTTCCATTTACTGCATCGCAGGCTTTGCCGCCGCCACCCTCTCTTTAAAAATAATCAGACTTCGTGTGTTAGAGCAGTTTTAGGTTCAGAGCCAAGTGGGGGGTGGAGGACAGGGATTCCCCGGGCACCGCCCGCCCGTACACACTGCCTCCCCACCGTCGGCGCCCAGCCCACCCATCTGTCGGCATGGCAGCCCGGCACCGTGCCCCGGGGCCCAGGGCTCCCACAAGGGGCCAGCCCTGTGGGGCACGTGCTGGGGCCTGGATGCCGTGGGATGGGCCCGCTAGGTCACAGACCATGACCCCAGCGTGGGCCCCATCGCGCCGCTAGGACGGACAGGCCACGTGCTCTCAGTGATGGCTTGACCGTTTGTTGTCGTTGGGCTTTCAATACAGGTCGAGAGCTATGAGTTTTGATTTTCCTTTTAAAAAGGGGTCAGGGATACCTCTCCTGACAGCCAGTCTGTCCCCGCAATGCCTCTCCCTGCTGTGCGCGCTGGTGGCCTACGACCCCGACGAGAGGATCACGGCCCACCAGGCCCTGCAGCACCCCTGCTTCCGGGAGCAGAGGTGGGTGCTCGGGCCTCTGCGGGCGGGCCGGGCCCCGAACAGCCCTCTCGCCCGAGCCGCCCCCTCCTCGTCCCAGCATATCCTCCCTGCCGGCGGCTGTGGACGCTGGGAGGGCTGCGCTGTTCCAGCAGGGGTTGTGTGGGCCCGCAACGCCCGAGTGTCGGCGGGTGAATGGGCCGCGAGCTGGGAGAGCCCGCTCTGTGCTGTGCCCGGCACTGGAGGCACATGCCCAGGGGTGTCTGAGCCCACACCGCTGCCCACTCCTGCGTGATGTCTGACCAGACCTCCAGTCCGGGCGGGGTAGGGCCTGCGGCAGGGCTGCGCCTGTGGTCCCCGGGTCTTCTCTGAGCCCTGCCCAGAGACTGTTGGCCGAGACAGAAGAGGAAAGAAGGCCCTCAGGTAGTCCTGGGGGGAAAGGAGGTGCAGGGACCGCGCACGTGGCAGGCAGGCTTGGAGCCAGAACAGCGCCGCGGCGCAGGCGAGTCTCAGCGGGCTGCGGCTCCCCGGTCCCTCCCTGCAGGGCGGCGGAGAAGCAGCCTCAGGGCGGCCACGGACGAGCAGCCTTCCCTGAGTGCCCTGCGGCCCCGGACCTGCTCTGCACCCAGTTGCGGATCTCCAAGGAGGGCAGAAAGCAGGTATGAGGGCGGGGGGCGAGCTGGGGGTGGGCCGTAGTAGCAGGACTGGCCACCCTCAGGGTCCCCGAGCAGGGCCGAGGCCAGGCCAGGCGAGGCTCCAGGGGCTGCGCTCCACCTGCCCCGCCCCGCCCGCTGCCAGCCGAGGGTCGGGACAACCAGGTGTGGGGAGGCGGCGGAGGCACTCCTTGCGCCCTCAGACTGACCCTGGCGCGGGGCACGGAGAAGCCAAACCCTGGCCCAGGCGGCCCAGCTGGCCCGTGGCCACCCCCGCAGTGCATGCACCTCCGCTCGGCCACCGGGCCGAGGCCCCGAGAGCCCCGCGGGCCACAGCTGAGCGCGCTGTCCCACCGCCACGGAGGGGCTCACATGCTGGTTGGAAATGGCAGCGTCACCCGCGGTGCAGTCACCGCCGGGTCACGCCGTGGGCTCGGGCCGGCGCCCGTCTGTGGGGACGGTGCCCTCCAGCAGCACTTCCACCCGCCCCCGCTTGTGCTGCGCACCCCTGGGGGCGGGGCCGCGGCGCAGACACGCCCCCGCGCGGCTGTTGCCCAGAGCTCCTCCACCCTGCGCCTCCTGCCTGCCGACAGCCCCTGCTGATCCCCCAGTCGGCCCCCCACCCTGGCTTCCCTCTCCGTGCCAGCCCCCGGGGTCGCTCCCCTTCAGCGGCTCAGGCCCCAAACTGGGGGCCTCCTGCCCCTGGCCCCAGCCGCCCTCATTTGCCCCCTACCTGCCGTCCCTGCTCAGCCGCCCTCCCAGCTGCTGGGACATTTGTCTGACTGGGTCACCCTGCTGGTCCCCCTGGACCTCGCCCGCCGTCCGAGCCCGGCCCATGTGTGTCTGCACGGCCGCAGCGAGCACTTCAGGCTCTGCGGCCATGAGGCCCCTGTCCCAGCTGCCCCGGGTGAGACGGAAGCGGACAGAGGGGCTGTGCGCCCACAAACCTGTGGACGCTGACGTTTGAATTTTGTATAATTTTTACGTGCCGTGAAAATATTCACATAAAAAGGTAAAAGTCCCAGTTCACCAGCTGCCCCGAAGCAGGTGGCAGCAGGCCCCGCTGGCCTGGGGAGCTGGGCAGGAGCCTGCGCGTGGAGCCCGGCCTCCGCGGTGGCCGCGGTGTGCAGCCCCCTCGCTTCGGCGGGGCTGGGGCTCCGGTGTCGTCGGGTCGCACCCCATGACCACGCGGTGGAATGAAGCAGAAGCGGCGCAAACAGCCAAACAGCCTCTTGTTTCCCCCAGTCCCGGGGGGTGGGGCGCGCGGCGGGCTCAGCTGGCCTGTGTTTTCTTCCAAGCAGCAGGAGGGCCGCCCCTGGTGGCCGGGACCGGCTGGCCCGACGGGACTGCCCAGGCCGAAGCTCGCAGGGGCGACCGGCCTGTCGTCCTGCAGCCCGGCGCTGCCCTCGGTGTTCGGACCCGGAGGCGGCGGGAAGGTCCTGGGGCCAAGGCCCCTGAAGTGTGGGGCCGCAAACCAGAAGGTAGCACCCCGTGGGCCCCCCGAGCGCAGCTGCCACCGCCACGCCGGCCTCCACCGAGCGCCGGTCCTTTCCTTTACCAGACGGACCCGCAGAAGGAGATGGAGCCTCACCCAAGACAGTACCACCTGCCCACCATCGAGAGGAAAGGCAGGGGGTGCTGAGCGGCAGCCGGCTCCTCCGCACATCGGGGCCAGTCCTGGAGGCAGCCCGGCAGGCTCCAGCGCAAGGCCCGCGGTCCCCCCGACGCCTGGCGCCTGGCACCTGGCACGTGCCGCCCACACGCCCGTGGCACTGCCGGCTGCGGCCACTGGCCTGCCCCAGGCTCGGCATCCCGAACGCAGCTGCGCCGCACGTCCCGCTCTGACACGTCTGTGAAGCCACCGCATGCGAGGTTCCAGTCCACTTTCATAACCTCAGAATTTGGGGCAAGAAATAGTTTGTAATTTTTTCTATGAATCCAAACACATTAGAATTTGTGTGGTGTTACTTTGGCTGGGCTTCGCCGCGGGCTCTGCGTGTGCTTTGGGCGCGTCCCCAGCAGCGCGGCGGCCTGTGACCGTGTACAGATGTGCTGGCTTTGACTAAAGAATGGCCGCCATCACACTGCTCCTTTCAGTGCGTCTGAGGACCCCGCGCCAGCTCCCTGTTCCTTCGTTTTAGCTCTTGTGAGCACGTCAGGGGGACCGACGTTGCTGGGGGGCCTTTGGTGCAGCTCGATTTTGTTTTCCTGGAGGAGCCACGAGGAGCAGGCCCAGACTGGTGCTCGGCGCCCTCGGTGCTGCCAGGGAGTCTCCGTGGCGCGGTGGCGTCACTTTGACTCCTCAGGCCCGGCTTGACCGCCAGGTTTCGTTCCTGGGGCAAAGAAACCAGCTCCGCGGGGGTGGAGGGGGCTGCGGAGCAGCGGCCGCGGTGCCAGGGGTGCGGGGTGCTGACCAGGTGGCCGCAGGGAAGGCCTGTGAAGCCCCATTGGGTCGGCCGTAACCTAACTGTTGGGTGCTCCTTCTTTCTCATCTCCTCCGGCTCACAAGGTTAAAAGCAACTTTCCTGGGTTTGGCTTTCATCTTCCTGTTCCCTCTTTTAAGGCGGGTCTGAGACACCACCCCGCGACCATGGGCCCTCCCACAGCCGCCACCTCCGTCTGCCCGACGGGGCAGGTGGTGAAGCAGAGCCAGCGACAGGGCAGCGGGGCTGCGGGAGGGCGGCCACAGGAGGGCCAGGCCGGACCCGGCATTTCCCACACCTGGGCTGACGGGGGCCCTGAGCTGGGACGCAGTGGGGCCGCCACGTGGGGACCGGGACACCCAGGAGGGGCAGGTTCAAGACTTGCGGTGGCACTCGGAGCTGGGGGCGCTTGCAGAAGGGCTGGAAACAGCTTCCTTCAGATGCACGCGAGAGGCGGGGGCAGGTGGGGGGTGGGGGGCCGGGGACGCCTTGGTGGGAGCTGCGTGCTGCAGGGGGCCGGGCAGTTCCAGGTCCCGGGGGAGCTGAGGCAGCCTCGTGGGCAGGCAGGAGGCCGGAAACAGGAGGCGCTTAGCCTGGCGACGGGAAGGGCCAGTGAGGCACCACGGGGAGGTGCCCGTGGGCGCTGGGGCCTGAAGAGGCACCCCCAGGACAGGCCCAGGCAAGTCCAATGGGGCGGGGCCGCCCGGGAGCAGGCCCCCCGAGGCTCTCAGGGCACATCAGGGGCTCACGAGCCTTTGGGAAAATTGTTAGCCCTTTAAGTGTGTAAAATTGGAAGAGGAAAGCTTTAAAGTGCACCCGCATACCTTTTTGAGAGAGCAAGCTCTGTGGACGCTGGTCCTCAGGAAACCGACAGCCCTCACTCCCCGACAGCCCTGGCCTCCGTGGTGGCGGCAGCGGGCGGGGCTCTCTGGGGCAAGCCAGGCCCGGGGCGGACGCGAGCCGTCCACCAGGTGAGGCCCTCATGGCCCCGCAGCGGCCTCTGGGGCAGGGTGCTCCGGAGCAGAGAGGACGCGGCGGCTCCGCTCCCCAGCCCCGGGGGCAGGCGCGCCCTCAGCCAGCCGGCAGAGCCCTGGCAGGGTCCGCCCTCCACGCTGAAACGGCGAAGGAGGCGGGAGGCCACCTACGCCTTTCCGGACAGCGCTGTTAGACGGCTCCCAGAGCACCTGAATTGCCACATAGAACACTGCCACCACCTGTCGAACTCACTCACCGCACACGTTTACGGGGCGCCTGCCGAGCTCGGGGACACTGAAATCAGCCAGGGAGGGCAGCTGGGCCGAGGCAGGCAGAGCCCTGCCCCCCACGCTGAGCAGCCGGGGCGCTGGCAGGGGCACTCAGGCCAGGGACTGGGCTCCGACTGCAGCACGTTAATGCCGTGAACATGGCCAGAATAGGAAAGGCAGCGACGACGCGGCCCAGGTGACCGGGCCCTGCCGCCCCCATGGGGAGGGCACGCCTGGGTGTGGGCCCTGCGGCCAGGCCACACCGCGGCTGCAGGGGCGCGGGGCTGAGCTAGGCTCCGCTCTGGGGATCTCCCGCCTCCCCCGGCCTCCCTGAGGCCCATCCCCACGCTTGGGCCTGCACTCACCGGCTACAACAGTGGAAGCAGCTCAAGGCAGGAAGGAAAGGCACACACAGATCGATCGTACCAGGTTTGCCGCGACACTTCATCCCCTCCCTCCCCGGTGTCCGAGGGGCGGTGGGGGGGTGGAGGCGAGCCTGGGTGCAAAGTGTGGCTGGTCGGCGGCGGCGGGGGCGGCGGCGGGGGCGGCGGCGGGAGGGGCAGGTACGATGCAGTCTGATTTGGGAAGCCATCATGGACCACTCAGCCAGGGACCAATCTTAGGGACAGAGCGACAAAACTGAAGGTGTGCTCCTAGCACAGCTGCACCTGCGGTGAACTGGGGACCGTGAGACGGCTCCAGGCCAGCCGTGGTCAGCAGCAGAGGACTCCAGCCAGAGCCGACCCGGGCAGCAGACGGCAGGCAGGGCTGGGACTGGCTGCCCTGAGCCAAGGGACCCCGGCACCGCGGAAGCCCTGGGGCTCGGCTGGGTCGTTTGGCTGCGTGGTGAGCTCGAGTTTTAACCCCGGGGGCTGTCCTGGAGCCAGGCAGAGCGCGACCTGGCACTTCGCACAGATAGACCGGGCGTACGCGGGGCAAGGGGCCGCCCCAGGTGGGGCCCGAGAGGGAGAACTCGGGACTTGATTTTGTGCTCCTCAGAAGCCCGCGCGGCTCCCTGGTAGGTCTTTTGGACACAGGTGGGCGGGATTCTGGGGATGCGAGCACAGCTGAAACCAGCACCGGGACTAAGAAATACCGAAAATCAGACTGACTGACGCAGGCTAATGTTTCACTTTAGCACGGAGGCACTGTGAGCGGCATGATGTGAATTCTGATTCATTTACTTAAAACAACAGCGTGTCTTAGTGTTTTGCAGTGGCCGTTGCGGAAACCCCCCACCCCCACCGTGCAGCGCCCTCTCGCGGGGCGGCCGGCGAAGGACTGGCGGTGACTCTCGGACGAGCGAGGCGGCGCCGAGGGGCATGGCTCCGGCTGCGCGGGTGGTGACGGTGGAAAGGTGTGCGCCCTGTCCCATGTCACGGAGACGTGAGTGTGGCTTAGAGCCTCACTGAATAAAACCAACTTCAAGGGGTGCACCTGCATCTGGTTTTTAAGAATGGGTTGGGGGCCGCACCCTGTGTCACGATTCTGGCAACCTGCAGGGTCCGCAAGCAGGTGGGGCAGGGCCTCGGCTCAGGCTGCGCAACAGCCGGTTCCAACCAGAGGAAGCGCCGAGTCGCTCACCGGCCGCTACTCCTCGCTGTGCGGCTCGCAAAGCGCCGTCACACTCACCGTCACGGGCTTTCAGCGACAAAGGACGGGCCCGTGGCCCCGCAGCTGCAGGCAGAAACGACCGGCCGCACGCACGCACGCGCTCTCGAACCGCCGCCTCCAGCCGGGCCGCGGGACCGGCTCCGAGCAGCGTGGAGTGAAAAGGACAAACCAGCCGCAGCCCCAACATTACGTCAACAACAAATGGCACTGGACACTGAGCCGATTCACAGGAGATGAACAAAGGGCACATTCAAGACAGGTGTGTTGCTCACACTTGTCGCGAGTTAGAAACACGGCTCTTAGATGATGGCAGTTGCTAGGGAAGCAAGCACTTCCCCCAACCCCCAACGGCAGAATTACGTTGTTTGCACAGGTGGTTACAGGCTTGACTGCGTTGGAAACAAGAGCATTAAATGTGAAAGAGATTCATAGGGTGTCTTCACACCTTGGAGGGCCGTTACACCCAAATTCAGAGTAATTTTTTAACGGCATTAAACCGAAGTGCAGTTTTCAGAAATCCACGGCCGCGGCGTCGGTCCTGCATCGCAGACGCGCCCCCATCCCAGGCCGACAGCGGCTGCGCATGGGCGCGCCCTCGGGCGCGCGGAACCCAGCGCACAGCCGGTGACGTGTGGTCCGTAACGGCTGGGCTTGTACACTGTGTGTGCACGTATAGTGTCCATGTGTGTACGGGATTTTAATTGTTGAATTTTAGTGTAAAAAGCAAGAAAAATCTCATTTCTTATTTTTTGCTGCAGCCTCGAACAATTTAAAATGGAAACAGCTCCTTTGGATGAGCAGCAAATGCCCTGCCCAGGGCTCCGCCCTGAGTGGCCCTTCTGCTCAGGCCCCCAGTGACACCCGCGGCCGACGCACGGCACGCGGCTCTGGCTTGCCGCCCCGCCCACCAGGCCAGGGCTGGGGCGGGGACTCGTGGGCAGCGGTGCGGTCGCTCCCCTGCAGTCCCGCCTGCAGAGCCGGCCGGTCTGGGCGTGACAGGGGACAGGCACTGCAAGCGGAGCAGTGACACGAACCCCGCAAACCATGGGGGCCGGCGGGGGCCACGGCCACGCACCCTCCGCAGCAGCCGTTGCCATCAGAGCCGACTTCCGCTGCTAACCAGTGATGTGACCAATCCTCTGCGTCCACCTGTTGAGTTCCTGTCCGGGTCCTTCCTGGCCTTCCTTCCGAACTGGGACCGGAGCCCACAGACCCCAAGCCCCTGCCTGGACGTGGGGCCCGTGGGCTGGGGGATGACACTCCCTCTCAGGGTCTGGGTCCCTTGGGTCACCACTGGCCCAAAGGTGAGGGGTGCCCGCCGGGGGGGGTCCCCAGAGCACCGCACGCCCAGCCCCCCGGAG